ATAGACCAAACAGTAATAATACTTTTTTACACCTGATATAGTGCCTCTCTTGTCGGGAGGAAGTCTCAAAGTGCTTCACAGGATTTTACTCTAAGTGCAGTGAGGAGGGCAGGAGGGGAAGGTGACTATAGGTGCAGTTATCCGCACGCTATCCTCCTCCACCGCTTGTCCTCCCACCTCAACCTTCAAGGCCCTGTCCCTGAGTGGTTTAGGTCATACCTCTCCCACCGTCTTCATTTTGTTTCCACAAACGACTTTTCCTCCAGCCCCCGCACTGTCTCGTGCGGTGTCCCTCAGGGCTCTGTCCTCGGTCCCCTCCTCTTCACCCTCTATATGCTCCCCCTTGGTGACATCATCCGCAGACATGGGGTTAACTTCCACATGTATGCGGATGACACCCAACTCTACCTTTCCTCCTCTACCCTCAACTCCATGACCATCGATGTCCTGACAGCCTGCCTGTCCGACATCGAGTCCTGGACGAGAGACAACTTTCTTCAGCTCAATGTGTGCAAAACTGAGGCCCTCCTGGTTGGCTCGCGTCAGCGCCTCCGCACCTCAGGCGCTGAGAGCATCAGCATCCAAGGCTGCACTCTCCACCTCTCAAAGCCAATCAGGAACCTCGGGGTTCTGTTCAACCCTGAGCTGTCCTTTCTCCCTCATATCCGCACCACAACTGGCACCGCCTTCCATCACCTCCGGAACATCGCCAGACTACGCCATTACCTCACCCCTCACGCTGCTGAAACTCTGGTTCACGCCTTTGACACCTCAAGGCTGGACTATGGGAACTCTCTCCTCGCCGGCCTTCCCGGCACCTCCCTCCACAAGCTGCAGGTCATTCAGAACTCTGCAGCTCATGTACTGTCCCGCACCAGACTTCGGGACCACATCACTCCCACCCTCGCTCGCCTCCACTGGCTCCCCATCCCCCAGAGGATCGAGTTCAAGATCCTCACCCTCACCTACAAGGCCATTCACGGCCTTGCTCCCTCCTATCTCTCCGACCTACTATTCCCCTACCTACCTGCCCGTACCCTCCGTTCCTCTGGATCCGGTCTGCTCCACATCCCCCGCCCCAACCGCCCTACCATCGGTGGCCGGGCCTTCAGCCTCTCACCCCCTGGGCTCTGGAACTCTATCCCCCAGTGCCTTCGCCGTCTCCTCCCTTTCTTCCTTTAAGGCCGGTCTCAAGACCTTTCTCTTTGACCGTGCCTTCAGCTCCCCTCTCGACTCTCTACGCCCTCCTCGCTCCCTCCCTTCCCTCCCCTCCCCTCACCCTGACCATTTCCCCCCTGCTCGGGTCCTGACCCAACTGTCCAGCGCCTTGGGACGTCCTCCCGACGTGAAAGGCGCTCTATAAATGAAATCTTGTTGTTGCTGTTGTTACGAACAGTCTAACAGTTAGCAGTCCATACAGGATTACAAAAAAAACAGTGCATAGAATTTGATCCTGACTCTCCAGTGTAGTGCTGAGTGCTGCACTATTGGAAATGTTATCCTTCAGATGATATTTTGAACCAAAGCCCATGTGCCTGTTCTGTTGAATGTTAAAGATTCTATATTCTGCCATCTAACTGATTCTCTAATAATACTCACATAAGCCATTTGTGGCTTATGCCATCATTGGAATCCCAAAATAAATGGATACATTACTTACGCCCACAGATCCATAATGTTATATGCCTTACCTTTGTCTATTTTTGTTAGTTTGACTAACCGAAGCAGGAGCATTTAAAGGCTTGTTGTAATGAGGTCAATTGCAAGTAGTCTTTAAATATTCATTTTTCTACACTGGAGTAGTTTTATAAGTGCTGTTATAGAAATTTCTCCTGCCCACCTTCTTCAGATAATAACATAAAACGTAGCAACATGAAAGTATTGTGAGATCGTTCTGTTTTAAAAATAACACCATCTCCCATAATGCAGGCATTGCTAGGAAACAGATGCTAAATGAGTAATGGTGACTGTAAAGACTATTCCATATTTGACCCTCCCCCACATAATATTTTACTAGCAATACAGTGGGGGTTGGGAGGAGAAGTGGACGATAGAGGTAGGTTTTTATAGAGTCCAAGTAACTCCCATCCACCCACAAAGGGTCCATTTGTCGCATCATGATCCATTGTACTTTGAGTCACTGATTACAATCCGCTGATTTATTGTAACAATATAAAAGCAACATATTCCACAACAAAACATATCAATACATTTCTTTGTTCTGATGAAAACTCTGCGATAGAACAGGCACAAACTTTGCAAGGAGCAAGGCTCTTCGCTTAAGACGATGCAAGACGCAATCCATGAAAAGTCCGAGTATAAAGTACTTAGAACAGCTGCAGCAATGAAGAGTCTTGGAAACAAATTTGCTATGAGAGAATTTGCTGTGAAAACTCTAAAACTCGTAACAAATGAATGTCCATTAGGAATGGCGGAAGATTCCAATACTGTTTACAGTTCGGCCCTTGATTTATTTTGACTTTCCTTTCCAAGGTCCTGGAAGAGTTGTTGCTTCCCCGGTTCACTCCTTCCTCTCCCGCCACACCCGTCACAAAACCCTCAATCGGGAATCCATGCCACCCACAGCACAGAAACAGATTTGGTCGAAGAGACAAACATCATTCTGTCCATCTGCGACCAGGGCTCCATAAGACATAAGACGTAGGAGCAGGAGTAGGCCATTCAGCCCCTCGAGCCTGCCCCACCATTTAATAAGATCATTGCTGATCTTCCAACCTAATTTCACTTACCCGGCCTAACCTCATATTCCTTAATCCCTCTATCCTTTAGAAATCTATCAACCTCAGTCTTGAATATGTTCAAGGACTGAGCATCCACAGCCTTCTGGGGTAGAGAATTCCACAAATTCACTGCCCTCTGAATGAAGAAATGTTTCCTCAACTCAGTTTGAAAAGGCTGACCCTTAATCTTGAGACTATGACCCCTAGTTTTAGATTCTCCAACCAGGGGAAACAGCCTCACACTATCTACCCTGTCAAGACCCTTAAGAATCTTATAGGTTTCTATAAGATCACCTCTAGTTCTTCTATATTCTAGAGAATATAGGCCTAGTTTACTCAACCTATCCTCATAGGTCAACTACCTCATCCCAGGAACCAACCTAGTGAATCTACATTGCACTCCCTCTAAGGCGTGTATGTCCTTTCTTAAATAAGGAGACCAAAACTGCATACAGTATTCTAGATGCGGTCTCACCAAGGCCTTATACAATTGCAGCGAGACTTCCCTACTCTTGTACTCTACTCCTTTTGCAATGAACGCCAATGTGGCAGTAGGCTTCCTAGTTGCTTGCTGTACCTGCATACTAACTTTTTGTGACTGGTGTACAAGGACACCCAAATCCCTCTGAACACTAACACTACCTAGTCTCTCACCCTCTAGAAAATAATCCGCTTTTCTATTTTTACTACCTAGGTGAATAACTTCACACTTCCCCACGTTATACTCCATCTGCCTCCTAATCCTTCTTGACCTCTCCACTGCCTTCGATACCGTTGACCACTCTATTCTCATCTACCGCCTCTCCTCTCAGCTCAACCTTCATGGTTCTGTTCTTGACTGGTTCAGATCATACTTCTCACACCGTGGGTACTTCATCGCCACAAACGTCTTCTCCTTTAGCCCCTGCACCAGAATATGCAGCATTCCTCAGGGCTCTGTTCTTGGCTCCACCTCTTCAATATCTATATGCTCCCTCTTAGAGCATATAGATGACACCCAACTCTATCTCTCTGCCTCCACCCTTGACTCCAGGACCACTGCTGTCCTGATAGAATGTCTGTCGGACTTCAAGTCCTGGATTAGAGCTAACTTTCTTCAGTTGAACATCAATAAGACCGAGGCTCTCCTGATTGACTCCCGTCAGCGCCTCCACACCTCAGGTGCTGACTGCATCACCATCCATGGTTGCTCACTCCCCTTTGCTAAGCCAATCCAGAACCTTGGCATCTTGTTTGACCCTCAATTATCCTTTCCACCCCACATCTGCACCATGACCCGCTCTACCTTCCCCCACCTCCGCAACATCACCCAGCTACGATACTTTCTCACACTGCAGGCCATGCTGTGTGGTGCGGTGTGGTGTGTGGCGTGATATGTCGTGTGGTGTGCGGTGTGTGGTGTGGTGTGCGGTGTGGTGTGCAGTGTATGGTGTGGTGTGTTGTGTGGTGGGGTGTGGTGTGCGGTGTGTGGTGCGGTGTGTTGTGTGTGGTGTGGTGCAGTGTGTGGTGTGGTGTGGTGCGTGGTGCGGTGTGTGGTGTGGTGTGGCGCGGGGTTACGTTGCATGGTGAGGTGCACAGTGTGCAGGTGCGGTGTATGCATGTGCGCAGTGTGTGTGGGGGGATGGGTAGGTGACTGTAGATGTTGTCAAAAAGGTAGGTTTTAAGAGTGATTGTTAAAAGAAACATAGAGGGCGAGAGATGGGGGAGCAGAGGGAGAGCATTCTAGAGGTTATTTTGTTTTGCTGAATAAATAATAAATACATGGAATCCTTAGTGTCACATTCAATATTCTGTACATTGATGTTCTGTATTGATTTCTGGGAGTACTCTAATCTGAACCAAACTTTGTGCGCACAGTTTGAAGGCTCACTCCCACAGCATTCTTTACAAGTCATGCCTGACAAGAACTCAATGAGCTTCAGTGAAAAGGGAAGGGAAATGCTAATTTAGTACTGTAAAGTGAATTTGGCATTTGCCTAAAAATACAGTCACTACACTTCCCAGTGAAATCCTGTGAAGTGCTTTGAGAAGTCTCGACGTTGTGATAAGGAGCTATATCAAATGCATGGATTATTATTACTATATTAATAGCTAGGTTCTCGCAAACATTTTTTAGCGTGACATGTGATAATAGAACACATGTGTACTTGTATTCCTCACACTGCATTGTAATTCTCGGGAGTTAAGTACCAAACATATTTAATATTTCCCTCCGATTGGCATCTTTCTAAATAGAACATATTAAGTACCTCAACATACCTCATCATCCAAGTTCTGTGTGATCAGCTCGGCTTCTTCTTTCTGTTGCATTTCACAGCTGTAAAGAGCTTCCATTTTCAGTCTGGTCTCCTGGTTGCACTGAGCTGCTAACATGGCCATCTTTGTATCATGCTCGACCTGTAGTCTGCTGTCCAACTCCTGAAACTGCTCTTTGAAGGCCGTGCTTATCTGTTCCTCCGAGAGGAGCGAGAGGGCACCATCAAGCTTAAAGTTCCTGAGCAGAAGCGCAGTGGCATCCATGCTCATTTGTTTTCGATGCTGTTCCAGATCCACATCCACCTGCACCATATTCAACACCTGTAAACTGGTCAAGAAATGAAAGGTTGCAAAGTACTGCCTGCAATCCATGCAGTCAATGCTCACCAGAGCCTCTGAACAATTCATTAATTCTGTCAATACTGGTATAAGAGGGCAAAAGTAGCAACCCTGCATTCAAGTCTTTACAAAGGCAGAAACATCCAAATAGGGCAGCATACACATCATGGCTTACATTATCTTTTAATTATTTGCCTCACCGTCTGTTTTTGACCATCGTAACAGAACTGGTTCCTGAATCCTACATGAAACTGAGTTGTGTTGCCAAATTCATGCTCATAGATTGCTGAGGTGCTGCAGTGAATGAATGAGCTGCAAGCAATCCTCTGGTGGAAACGNTTTTTTAGTATAGGATTGGGAAATATCAAAGCATATTTGCTACTGCCACAATGCTGTCTGCTCTGATTTTCACATCCAAGCCCCTGTTTCACCCAGAGTTTGGAAAAACACCAATTCCAAAAAGAGAAGAGTGGGCCTGACAACTGCTCACCCATCAGACCACATATTATACAGGCTGTGCAACACCAAAACAGGCCATTCAGCCCAACTAGTGCTGTGCCAATATTTATTTTAATAATAATAATCCTTGCATTTGATATAGTGCCTTACCACATCTTCGAGACGTCTCAAACTGCCTCGCAGAATATGCTGTGAAGTGAATTGACTGTATACTGGGTACTCCAAATGAGCCTCCACCCATCCAAATTATCCCCATTCTATCCCCCTCTATTGCCTTGTCCCTCATGTGCACATTGAGCATCTTCTTAAATATTCTGATGTATGAGTGGAAAATGAGGAACACACACATACATATGGATAAATGCAGATGTTTACTGAAAAGTGTCACTTCCTAATGTCATTCAACATTCCTACTGAGTGGTTTACAAAACCACGCAGTTGTTCCAATATTTACCTGTTAAACGGATACAAAGTTACACCGTGAAATTATTTTGTCAACACGTCCTTTTAACTGTTGCAGAAAAAGCTTAAAAATGAAACACTTTTTATGAAGTGGTTTCATTTTATTGCCAAATTGGCTTTATTTAAAGATTCTCGGGTTATCCACTGTTGAAATATTTGATGTGCATAGATGGATTAAATGTACCATACAGCATCAAAGGCCAAGACAACTCACACACAGCACTCTTTCATTTGAAAAAAGTGTAGTTGCATTTTAATATTTTGCTTGCTGGTGCAAAACCTGTATTTTCCCATTATTATTAATTCCTTAATGCAGCTGTCAGAGATTCGATTTGAATTTATCTTTCTCTGCAAGGTACTGGATCTGATTTTACGTTTCCTTTTCTTCTGAGCGCTACTGAGTTTTATTTGCTGGAGAAAGCTTGGGACCCTTCCGTTCGGTACGAAAGTAGTCAGTCCATTCACTTGTTGGCATGGGCAGCGGGCGGCGAGGACAAAAGGGGCTCAACCCACCCCACCCACCCCCCCCACCCCCATCTCACAAATCTATCTACAGTCACCTTTAACCTGAGCTCTGAGGAGGACCACAACCAGAGCTCCGAGCAGCCCCAACCCGCTGCACACCTGGCCACTCTTGCCCCACTCCCAACTCACCACTGTCGCTGCCCACTTCCGGTCCAGCGGGCTGCTTGGCGAGGGCATCCTCATCTCAGATTGGCCGATGGACCTGTCAGTCGAGCCTCCAGCTCACCTGTCTTAAAAGAGCACCTATGCTTCAGCTGACCCCCGCGCCCGCCCCCCACCCCCCCCCACCCCCGTCCCCCGCCCTAAAGAACATTTTCACTTGCCACGAATACTTGAAGAAATTTTGACAATCCTAGAGAGGAAATACCTCCTTCAATTGTTTGCAAGTTCAATTTCTCACTGGTTTTAAGCCAAAGAAGTGAAAAAAACATCATTTGGCCTGAGCTCCGTGAATCCCTCCCAAAAGCCTCTTTTCCGTTCTAATGTTACGCATCAGTGAAATTGCTAGTCTTGGCAGAAACGAATGACGTGCTTTTCCAAAGCCTTTAAGATGATATTGCTACATGTTTGTATTAGAGCATTAGCCTTTAGCCTGCTGAAAAAAACATTTCAAACCAGTCAAAATCTATTGCTTTGGATTAATATTGTAACTGCCCCTCCAACAAAAATGTTGCCAGTAATCAAATTCATTTACATAGTTTAAATGCCACCAAGTCAATTTACTATCAGAGCATGGCAATCAATCTTGTCCCACTATCTCAAGCTGAGACAGTACAATCAGAGACACTTCTGCCTGCAGCACATTATCGCCAAAGTTTAAATGTTCTATAGTTTGATAATAAATTGAGAAAGCAAAAAATAAACATCTATATCTCACTACAAACCTGTTTAAAGCTGTGGAATGAAAGACCTGCTGGGGGCGGGGAGAAATGGATACGCGGTTGGAAATGCTAGCCCAGGGGGTAAATATCACAGCTAGTCCTCACTGTGAGTCAGACTGAATCTAAGAAAAGCAAAATGCCCATGAGTCAGACAAACGACTTGAAGCCCTTTTTTTCCCCCCATTTGCTTCAGATAATTAAAGGAACAATTCACTCAGTCTGGAAAGAAATGTACTATTTTAGCATGGAGGCAAAAGATCATGAATAATATCCTATAATCATTAGATGGTGTCAGCCTGGCTCAATTGGTAGCACTCTCGCCGCTTAGTCACAAAGTTGTGAGTTCCAAGTCCCATGCCAGGACTTTGACTTCATGTAGTCCAGCCTGACATTCTAATGTAGTGGTGAGGTATGCAGCATTATCAGAGATGGCTTCCTTCAGATGAGACGTTAAACTGAGGTCCTGTTCAGGTGGACGTTAAAGATGATATGGCACTACTCAAAAAGAGAAGTTTCTCTCCATGTCCGGAGCAACAATCCCCCAGTTAAAACTGGTTATTCACTTGCTGGGTACAAATTAGCTGCCACGTTCATCTACAAAATGCACATCACTACACTTAGCAGTGTATGATGTGAAGCACTTTGAGTTGTCCCTGCAACATGAAAGGCACTGTATATATGCAAATCATTGCTGTTTTTGAGGTAAATTGCACAGCTCTTTCAAACTATCATTCAACCACAACATTGAGTTGCTGCCCACATGACTGTACATGAACCACGCTACCAGCTAAGATCAGAAAGTTGTCCTTTGAGGCAAAAGAAAAAAAATACTTTTTCTAAAGTGATTTTTTCAGGATCAAGTGTGATAATCTTTTAGAACGTTCTGCACTGCATTTGAAAAGTGTTTTGTTGCAACTTTTAAATTCATTGGGATATAATAAAAAAATCTTACTCATCAAAGGCTTCCATCATGTTTTTTGGGTCTTCAAACACCAAAATATCAATCACTTTTTCCTGAAGTCGAATCTTTTCCTCTAACAGGTCCGCTGATTCACCAATTAGCGCAGAACTAGAAAACGACTGGCTTGTTCTTGCCTTAATGTGGAAAAAAGTGCATTAATAAACGATAGGTTTCCATGGCACAAGCACACAGACAGAATAGTATTTATAAACATTTAGCTGAGGAGTAATAGTGGAACTCCAAAGTACTGTCTCAGCAGGATATGGATTCATAAAAATAATTATCAAAATAATCCTTGACAGAGTGCCTTTCAAGTCAGGATGATACCTCATAGCACTTGATAGGATTTATTATAAAGGTATTCAGGCTGTATTTTTGTAGATGAACCTAGCAGCCAATTTGTGCACAACAATATCCCACAAAAACGATGAAATGAGTGACCAATTTTAATTTGGGAGATTGTTGGTTGGGACATGCCTCCAAATGTTCTGACATGAATTCTGCTATCATGAGGAGGCACAAACATAGATGTTGGATGTTGGATATTACCCCACAAATAAGTAGGAAGAGAAAATAATGAGTCACTTATGCACTTACTAGGTGATTACAAAACAGCACTGCCAAGAGGCCATTGAGCAGGCTGCTTGGTTACCAACTTGCCTGGCATATGGTGTTACTAATGCCAAAACAAGAATTCTACATTACTGGGTAAATGAACAGTGTGTTTGTGTGTGTGTGTTTGGGGTGTGTGGGGAAGGGGGGGAGGGGTATGGGGCACTGGTACTGAAAACAGGAGGCTGTGTATGAGGCAGAGAGATGACAACCACAAGAAGATCTGGAGGATAATAATAATAATAATCCTTGCATTTGATATAGCGCTTTTCACGTCGGGAGGACATCCCAAAGCGCTTCACAGAACACACTGTAAAGTGAATTGACTGTATATTTGTGGGCAAACGCAGCAGCCAATTGCGCACAGCAATGTCCCACAAACAGTCGTAGATTGAAAATGACCAATTTATTATTGTTTTTGGTTTTGGAGGGATTATTATTAGATCAGCTACTGTTAAGGACTGCTGACCCCACATATAATCTAAATCATAAACTAAGCACATTCACATACACACACACACACACTATCTTTTACTTCCAGATTCTGTTCTGCAGTAAAACAGCAGAGGCAAAGTAAAATCTCTGAAAGCTTTTGGTTAGCAGTAGCAACCGAAAACCTGATGACACAGCTGCCAAACAGCTCGGATCTAATCTGCTTGTATTTTCTCATTGCCCATCAATTTCCATCTCTAAGGAGCTGAATACCTGTCAGATAGCTATCAATTCCTAAGTAAAAGGAATTGTGAGCTCCTGTGTACTCAGTGCTCAGTAATAGGGAACAACTTACCACAAAATCAAACTGTGTTCATGTCTTCAATTAGTAATTATGGCCAATGTTGGACAGATCCCCCTCTCTTTCCCTCCCTCTTCCCCTCCCCCTACTCAACCAAACTCCAGTTCAAACAAACCATTGAGCACATAACAGATGATTTATTTGATGCAAAAACATTCACCTTCTGAAAAGGAGAGTTCCTGATGGCTGCTCTTCTGATCCTGAAGGCAATTAAGAGGACCAAGAACACCAAGATGAAAGAAGTAACAAAAGCAACCAGAAACCCCACAAAATGGATCGTATGATTGGGTAAAACCTGGAGTGAAATAGAGAGAAGGGGAGTTTGTTTCCTTCATGGTTTACATTCTTTGTTGCACTGGAAACACGAAGAACACATACACAAATATGCATTGAAGAGATAAACACTCAAGAGTCCCACTTCTACCTCCCAGCTCCATTTATCGCAGCAGCTGTTGTGTAGAACCTATCTGAGCACAATAAAACCCAGAATGACACAATGGGGAAGTGCTGCAGAGTGTGAAACCCAACCCAAAACAGCAGTCCAGACTCTGTGTGCCTTCGATAGCTCAGCTGGTAGAGCGGAGGACTGTAGTGAATCATGTAACAAGGTCATCCTTAGGTCGCTGGTTCAATTCCGGCTCGAAGGACATTTTTTTGGGTTAGGGAAATCATTGTTAACTATATGTATAAAACAACAGGAGAGAAAACTGGTCATTCTGAGAATTAAACTTAGGTAACATGTGCTTTACATTGCTGTGCATAAATTGGTTGCTCTTTTCACCTGGAAAAATACACAGTCACTGAACTTTACAGTAAGATCCTGTGAAGTGCTTTGAAACATCCTCCCGATATAAAATATCAATTGTACTTATTATTACTGCATTCAGAAGGCATCTCCATACATTACATACAATTGTAACAAATATAAGTTTGTAAGGCTGATGTGTGTTTTTCCAAAAGAGCAGAGACCAAGCCAGGTAGTCAACAAACCAACACACGAGTCAAACTTTAGCTGCTTTAGTCAAACACATTATTCGTTCCACTACAGATGAGTTTGCAACTGCAGGTTTTTCAGCTGGAACGTTCTTATGCTTCCTGTTCAACAAACCACACACCACCCTTTATAATCAGCTGCATTCCATACCATTAGCAAAATTGTAAAGCAGCATTACCGGGTGAGCTCAGTGTGCCTTCGATAGCTCAGTTGGTAGAGCGGAGGACTGTAGTGGAATAACCAACCAAGTCATCCTTAGGTCGCTGGTTCAATTCCGGCTCGAAGGACTCCAGAATTTTTTTTGAGGAGCAAGAAAAACATTAGAGTTCATTTGCTTTTGGTCAGCTGGGTCTCTGGCACATGCAGAAACCCATCACTGTGCTTAAGAGTAACCAAGCCAAATTACTGGGAGTTCCAAATGAGCATAACAATTTCTGCGTCAGGAATGGAGTGAGCACTCTCTCCCCGGAGGGATGTGTCCTGCTCATATAGTTCTGGGAAGAATCAGGTCCAGTTTGTCAAGAGCCAAGTCTTGGGGACCTCAGAATGCTTGTTGGGATACTGGTGAGGTGTTAGCCAGTTAACGTTCCCAGCTGCTTGTCGACCTAGGACCACCCTACCCATTATAGCTTTGGTTTACAGTGTTAACAGGAACTGAGCAAGAGGAATCCTATTCTGCCCCTCCACGACAACTGGCGAGTCTGTTATTAATGGTAGACCCGCCTTGGCTCAGGAACCGGACTATCACAACCACTACAGATGATCAACTCTATTTTATATTCCATCATTGGGCAGATCACCTTGAAGCCAACTTATCCCCAAACAGACCCCACAACCGTCCTCCCCAACCAGGATTCTTACAATTTGCTCATTGGATATCCAACAAACACAGAATTGAGCCCCATCTAAGTGCATACCAATACCAGGGAGATCACAAGGAAAGCTTCACAATATTGCAGAGCTTTTTTGTGGATTTTCCAAGTTATATTTGTGCATTTTAAAATGTGATATTAATTGGGTTCACAACCTCAATGTCAAAATTAACAGTTTTTTAAAATAACTGGCAACATTCTGCTTTTTTTATACACAGGACAAAGCATTGCCACTAAAGGTAAAGACGTGTGGAATTCTACCCACCTCGAAAGAGTAGTTACAACCTATTACATTGTTAAGAATAGTTTTATCATCAAACCAATTCCAACCTTAAAGCAGCCAACATTGCCATCTCCTGGCCATTGCTATTACATGCAAGTCACAACATCGGGTTTGCACCCACCTTTTGACCCAAAAGCAAGAGTTCTTTCTACCAGTCGAGACAAACTGACACCTTAACAATGCTTTCGTTATTAAGTGGAAATTCCTAATTTCTCAATGAGACTTCCATTACAACTTTGGTGCAACCTTTCATCCACAAAATATACAGTGAATTCACTATATAGTATATTCTGTGAAGCGCTTTGAAACGTCTCGAAGACGTGACAAGGCGTTATATCAAATGCAAGGATTATTATCATTATATTAGTGCTTGAGCTCACAACGTTGTGTGGTGCTGAAGGATTGGGACATGGAGAAAGGGAATGGAAGACCAACTTTGAAAATTTTTGCTCCCATTTCTCCTTCGTCGTCTCCACCTTCATCACCCACATGAAACCTAACACCTGCTCCCTTCATCCATCTAACCACCCAGTTGCTGACCACCCAATTGCTCCTCCCGTCCTTGCTCATGTATAGATAATGTCTCACTCTCTCCCAGCATCGCTTCTCCTCTTCTTTAAAAATCATGGACATCACCTGGGTCAATAGAAAAGTGCGGGAGCATTTCCTGCTACAACTCCACCTCTTCGCCACAAACCCACCACAAACAGCCCCTTGGGTACTAACCTTTACACGCAGGCCTCTCGCGCTGTTTGCTCGATGCCGCTACTATGCCCAGAGTGGCTCCAATTGCGTTCACGCAAAGAGGTGAATTTTGGGATCGCGGAAGCAGCATGTGCAGGAAATCTTTGCTCTTCTTAGCACCACCTCTAGGGCTGGGCAGCCCCATTAGGTCATGCTGACAGAAGTGTATGCCGTACTCTTAACAGTGCCTGACCAGAGCACAAAGCATAATGTCTGGAGATCTAAACTCAACCAATTTAGCAATATTTATTGCACAACTCGGCTGAACAAGTTTCAAAGTGCACATTATCGGCCTGTTTCAATGTCTACTGGTCACCTCTTCATCCGTGAAGGAAAGCAGAAAAACACTCTAGCTATAGAGAGCCCAATAGTTGCTGGACTGGGTTATAACATTTCTGAACATAACTCCTTTATTACATAAAGACAGCACGCTGCGTTCTGCCCTATAGAGAATAGCAGATAATAAGCTAGATTAGAAAGTATTTCCAAACATAACTCATACATTGCATTGATCGAGTTGTGATCTGGTGTTCTGGCTAAGACTAAATGAAATTTCGATCCTCTAAAACTCCTGGTTCTTTTCTCTGGAGGACCTGTGCACAGGGACACAGCAACAAGAGTAGGGTATTCAGCGATACTGTCTTTATCTTACATATCGCTTACATGCGCTGAGAAAATCACAACAGTTAACTCAAAACAGACCAGTGACCAAACCAAGACCTTTCCTGTTCTATATACTCAGGTACACAGTGGATAAATTCATCAAGGAATTAGAGGTTTTTTTAATTTTATTCTGTTTTCCTTTTTTTCTGCTCTCAAGATCTAAGTAGCCTACTTTGCTCTACATAAAAGTTGCTTCTCATTATTTTACTGAACTGTATCACATCACATCTAGTCGACTTTTCAAGCCTGGGAGATTTTCATTTAAACATGCCATAAAAATTCCACAAAAACTGTGCTACCCAATCCCTGTATTTTTATTGGGGAGGAGTTTTGGAGATGTGAATTTTGTCACTGGCATCACTTAACAGATCTTCAACTCACAGCAAGGAATGCCATGAACTCTCGCATGTCCTAGTCAGCCTACCTGTGCAGCTGTTTTCTTAGTCAATGTGAAATTCGCCACCAGAGCTTGTTCAAGGCTCACAAGGCTATTCTGAAAAACATGTTTTCTGGATTTCAATCATATTGTCAAATGTTAAAAGCTAACAGCAGTTCAAAACGGCATTGTCCTGTTACAAAAATAAGCAAGAGTCGAGATTGAAAATAAATAAATCTTCCAGAATTAAAACAATGCAGTTACAGGTAAGTTTTTGATGGTGTTAACAATACACGATATTTATAACCAACCTGTAAGGCTTTCTACCCTATGCCAGCCATAGGCGTAATGGAAGAAATGTGTTTCGCCAAAGGGGGAGAGATAAAAAAATGTAAGCGAATCCGAACTCCTCTGACTCGCTCCCAGCCCAGCCACACAGTCAAACACATGACAACTTGTCACCTGCCTGCCCACTCATGTAGGGGTAGATGACTAACATAGGAAGAGTCTGAAAAGGCAGGAGAAAAGGAATTGGGGGGAAAAACACTGAAGAATTAGAGGATCTTGAAATTTTATTTTAAATCAATATCCTTTATTTCTGCTCTTATGGACTAAGCATCCTACTTTTTGCTATATAAATCGTGCCTCATTATTTTATAGAACTCGATCATAACTCATCTAGGCACCTTTTCAAACTTTGGAAATGATCATTAAATATTGCCAGAGAAAATCCAGCACTAGCTGTACAACCCAATTCCCATATTTTTATTGGAGATCAAAGGAAAGGCATTGAATGTTATCAAAAAGGTTATCAAAATTGGGCGACGGGACACTTTTGACGTTTTAGAAACATCCAGTTAGTGACAGGAAAATAACAGATGTACTTTAAAAAATCTATAGTGTTATTCAAATAAGAGTGTACTTGATAGAACACTTAACACAGTTGCAAAATATTAATAATTCACGAGAGGGATTTTTTTGAGGTTTTGTGCTTGTCAAGATATAGGCACAGGTAGCAGAGCACCACTTACAGGGAAACATGTGCAATAGCTCTTCACAAAACCAACTGCATTTCTTTTTATACGCCAAATGCTAACTTGTTGTTTTAAAATCTTTTAATTTACAAAACAAAGCTTGATTCTGACTTTTGTAGGGAATTGAATATGTCTGTGACGTGAATGAATCGTTGCGAAACACACTGCAACCCAACAAAATAGACTGGAGTTTGAAATGTAGATGGGGTCGGGCGATGGAATGCAGAACCCTGATTTCTGCTTGAGTCTTAATAGGGTTAAAGCCTATTGGTAGTGTGACAATAACGTGTTCACCAAGCTTACAGAAGTTCATCTCCTTTCAGTCTTGGCACCAGCAAAGAACATAAAATGTCAAAAAGGACACCAATGAACACCAATCGTTCGAGATTACACGTGGAACATTTTATTCAAGGTTGAGCCACATTCTCTACAAAAACGGAAAGGAAGAGCATGTCCAAAGGTTGACAACAAAGGTAGTTCTCATAATTAGTCGAGGAACAGAATTATTCCCTAAATTGAATACCTGTGATTGATCATCAAAGATGAGGTAGGCCGGTAATGAAATGTTCCTTGCATCCTGGGTTTCCTGGTCATTTAGTACTGCAGTGTAACTTATTGTGTAGTACTCACCACCTGATAAGTAAAATGTTCAAATATTTAGTTTAACACAGCCATTTGCAATCGTAAGGTGCAGAAATTATCCCCATTTTAATACCGTATCCTCAAAATATTCTTCTTCACCACAGAAACACAGGACAGAACCTTAGCAAGTCAAACTACAGGCAAGTTCTCCAACTCTCCATGTAATGTTTAGACAAATTGTTCAGCTGCCGATTGATCGACGAGTTTGGAAGCCCTTAATGTGTGAACTGTAAATTCAGTGCTTCATTTGGCTTCACTGGCCTGGATTCACTGAATTTGCCATTGTGAGCAACATTGTTGTCCAGGTTGTTATTAGAAATTCAGAATACAGCAAAGCACAGACATGAAACCCCTTTTCCCCCCACCCTCTTCACCCCATATCCTATCACACAGCAGAAAAGCACCTAAAAAATAACACAATGCACTGCACACTATGCAAACAGGCCGGTAGAAGCAAGCAATGTGCAATATTCTGATCACAAGGCTGGATTCTTTCCTGCTAAAGAAATCACTTACCTGTACAAAGATTCGAAACAGGAAACAGCAAGCAAAGTCTTAACCGACTTCAGTGCAACACTTGAGATACCAGAACGTTTGAAAAACTAATTTAATTTAGTGCATCAGTTTGTTCTTTGTTTTGATAAAAATTGTAGTCCGACCTGCTGCATTGCATAAAAAGTTCAAAAAACATCTTACTTTGAAGAAATTCTTTGGTGTAGGTCTGGAACCCTGATTCAGTTTCATTCCCCATGTTGCTCAGAATGCTCAAACCAGTAACAGCATCTCGGATAGTAAGCTTTGAGATGTTAAACGGGGATTGCATGTTTGAACTGTTTATCATCAGCTTCACTGTCATTATCTGAGATTCAGTTTGGCCACTCACCTGGGAAACAAAACAGTATTACGGTTTGTACTCTATCACGATATTACTACAACTGACCTACTTATTGTGTTCTGCAATACAAATTCTACACAGAAAATGTACTTAAAAGTACTTGTGATTATTTCCCAATTTTAGCAGACTGAACCTCTGAAAGCAAAAACTAAAGAAACAACTTGCATTTTTTATAGCATCTGAGCACATCAAATTATCTAATGTAGTGAATGTGTTATGGGCGAATGTGGCAGGGCTTAGTGCACCAGTAAAGTCCCACAATCCACAATCAGCCAAGAGGTAAACTACATAAGAGTTACATAGAGTGATACAACACAGAAACACACCATTCCCATCTCTCCTATTCCCTTTATCTATATGAGACGCCCACCAAACTTGAAGGGCACTATACAAATGTAATTTGCTGTTGTTGTTATACCCCTCTATTCCTTTCCCCCTCATCACATTTTCTCAAAAATGCATTAAGCTCAGCTTCGGGGAGTGACCAAATCATTTGGAGGATTGTTTACCAGGCTAATGTTTTAAAGCCAGAAATCCTGAATTCATCCTTTATGAAAGCTCTGCAACTATTTGACGTCTACTTCTTTCTGGTTATTGAGTATCCTGATCTTTTTGTTCTTCCAGACTTATGCTGACTTTCATACTAAACAATCCTCAAAGCAAGAAAATGAAGAACACTACAGAGGCCAACACATATTTCAGGGAGTGATTGATTCTAAGCTATGAAGAAAACAAATACAATGGTCATTTATATCACTCCTAATTCCAGGATATTGCAGGCACAAAATAGCAGCCGTGTTTATCTGCATAACGTTATTAATTATGAAATAATATGGAACATTGTGTAAGTTCTGGAGTCTGTAATTCAGTGAGGGTCATCCTAGGTTGAAGAATAAAATGGGAACACCTAAATCGATGTATGACATGGGTATCTGAACTATGAGGAGAAACTATGGAAATGTTTATGTTGGAGAAGAGGTGATTGAGGGCTGACCTTATTAAAGTCTCTCAGTATAGATAAGACTTATTCTTATATCTTATTCAATCTGGTCAAAAGGTTTGCAGCTCACATGAAGGAGAGAGGAACTAATCAGACAGTTTACATTTGCCCATTTTATGCCAAGAGTAGCTACCATGTGGATCACAAGGGAGGAGGAATGCGAAAGGAATTACAACAGGAAACTGCATACATTTTACTGCTGTGGAGGAGGTTGGGAGATATACAAGATGATATCTGAAATGAATTTGGCCAGATAGAACTGTAGTACTGTTTTACTACCCATTCCTATATTCCAAACACTGACCACAATTCGAAATAACTCATTGAAAAACACTCTGAAACCTTTAGACTTGATAAGGTTGAATATTTGTAACATTTTATTACTTTGGTGGAAAGATATCAAACACATCACATAAAAATGCACTCAGTAAATAATATCATTGTAATATCATATGTTGTTGTAGAAACAGATTCTAGCCACTGGATGATGCTGTAAAAGTCCAAGTCAGCAACATACAGTTCAGATTTTCATTACTGTATTACCAGTGGCAAGAAACTGAATATCAAAATTTAATATATAGGCTTGTTGTACCATCTAATGGCAAGAACAAAGTACTACAGCAATACAGGAAAACTAATCCACACATGCAGTTTCTCAAAGAATTTCCAGATGATCTAAATGCAACACTGGAACTCAAACGCGGAGAACACCTCTAATTTTTTTTAATAGTATGATTAGATTGCAACATACTATTTACTGTCAAATAGTATTATATTAAATATTCTACTGAAACTTGCGGATTGCTATTTATGCTGTTGAGAATGCTTTTGAAATCCATAAATTTAGTCAGCAATGGCTGAAAAAACGGCTGACGCTCTCTCTTCTTGGCTTTTATCAAAGTTTTCTCGACCAACAGAAAGCCTGAATAAATATATATATGAATAGAAGTCAAATAACTTATTCTCATGTTGTATAGATTAACTGCTGGGACCTAATTTGTGATAGTCCCAAAAAGAACAAAAGCTCTAATTGTGACTTCCATTTTTCTGTATGGTTTATGATCACAACATAAGAAATGCTAGATGAAAAAAGACCAAGGTCCATCTAGTTCGCCTTCCACCATCTTGGCGATCGCATGCACATATGTCCCAAACTACCTATGTACTATATCCCATAATGTTATTTCCTAAAAGAAAATTATCTAATCTGTGTTTGAAAGAATCAACATTTCTTGCTCCAACTGTCTCCCTAGGGAGCCTGTTCCACAGGTTCACTATTCGCTCACTGAAATAGTGTCTGCGTAGATTTGTTCTGAATTTACCCCCTTTCAATCGCAGGCCATGTCCTCTGGTTCTACTATTCTGGACAAGTTAAAACAGCCTGTCGTGATCTATATTGTCGAGCCCCTTTAGAATCTTAAAGACAGCAATCGGGTCACCTCTCAATCTTCTCTTTTCCAGTGTGAACATACTCAATTTACTTAGTCGCTCCTCATAATCCAGTCCCTCCATTCCCTCAATCATTTTGGTTACCCTCCTCTGTATCTTCTCAATTTCTCCAATATCCTTTTTGTATTGCAGCAACCAAAACTGTACACAGTACTCTAAATATGGTCTCACCAATGATTTATACAGTGGCAGGATTACCCCATTATTTCAGCTTGCTATTGATATTTTGATACATCCCAATATCTGGTTTGCTTTACTCACTGACACACAGCATTGTTGGGAGAGCTGCAATTTATTGTCAATCAGGAACCCCATGCATTTCATTTTCCATACATATTATTTTCCTTCTGTTCAAATAATAGTCCCTTCCAGGATTTTTTGTCCCCACGTGAAGTACTTCTTCTCCACATTTCTCCACATTGAATTTCATCTGCCACCGATCAGCCCAATTCCCAGGTATGTTCAGATCCTCCTGTAACCTATCTTGTTCAGCTTCGCAATCTACCACCTTCATTAGCTTGGTGTCATCTGCAAACTTAGCCACTGTGCTTGTGACTCCTAGTTCCAGATCATTTATAAAAATATTAAACAAAAGAGGTCCCAAACAGTCCCTTGTGGAACTCCACTTGTAACATTTTCCCAGTCTGATGACATTCCTTGTCCTCTGGGTTCTTCCGGTCAATCAATTGCGTATCCATTGTTACATATCTTCACTGATTCCCACTTTTTTTTATTTTCAGTACCAGTCTCTCAAGAGGAACTATATCAAAGGCCTTACTGAAATCCAGATATACAACATCCACAGCCTTATCCAGCTCCCTTGTCACAGCTTCAAAGAAAACCATTAAATTAGATTGGCAAAACCTCCCCTTCATGAACCCATATTGGCTATAATTTATGATTTTATTTCTGTTCAGATGCTCCATGATTTTATCCTTAATAAGAGTCTCCATAATTTTACCCACAATGGACATCAAACTTACTGGTCTGTAGTTTCCTGGATCACTTTTGTTACCTTTCTTAAAAATAGGAGTCTGCCTTTCTCCAGTCCCCCGGCACCTCTCCAGTATAGTGGTTTTTTGAATGATTTGTGCCAGCGTTTCTGTGACTTCCTCCTTAAGGATTCTCGAATGCAATTTATCCGGCCCCTGAGATTTATTTACTTTAAGTTTACACAGCTGTTTAGCAACCATGATATTCGCAAACGGGTTAATACGACATCTCAAAGCGTTTCACAGTACATACTGTAAAGTGCAGCGACTGTGATTTTTTTTGTGGTCAATTGCAGGGCGATATAAGTAAGCTCCTTGATCCGGAATATAAGTCACTTTGCCCTCTCTCACTGGCGCCACAGTATCCAAACACACCACTGTGAAGTGCTCTGAGATGTTATCCTACATGAAGAATGCCATATAAATACAAATTGTTGTTATTATTGACTTTCAAAGATAAAATAAAAGACTTGGGACTGACAATTATTTCTGAATTTTAAGGCAAAAGGTGGGTGCCCATTGTCAAACAAATTTTAGTCAATTTTACAGTTTTTACAGCATTACTGTAAATCCAAAGCTAAATTTAGAGCTTTCTTAGCATCCACTGTTATCTAGTTTCCCTGTCTTTTTAATACGGTGACAAAAACATTTTCTGGGAGGGGGAAAGGGAGAAATTATGGTGATACAGAATGCATTTCAGTAATTATATCATTCTAAGGTTACATGTGGAATGGTTTTCTTAATCTTCATGGCATTAAAGCCAATCAACAGTACACTAGTTTCTCCAACACCGTTCACAGAAAAACATGTTATAATCCATTCAGCATTTGTGAAATCCTCCTGCACTTGCAAAGACGCATTGAGAATACAAGAGGACAGAAGTGTCTATCATCTGCAGCCTAAAGATCAGCAGGTTAAAGGAACATCTCAACTGAACCTTTCACTACATTAGGCTGCACCATGTCAGCTATGCTTTTATGTTTCAATTATCAGCAACATCATTTTGTATTAAAACTTTCTCTGGTTTGGTATTAGTTCCGCTGTTGTTAATGCCCTACGGAAATATTCTGCCTTTTTAGAGAAATGACTCAATTTTTTATTGATCCAATTCCAATAAAGGGCCATGTCTCAAACACAGACTTGTCTGAGCTCTATCTTTTGTTTTCCCCTCTTGCATTACTCAAGGAGTTTGACTCTTTTTACCCGGGGCAGAGGATTTCACTAGCACTGGGAAATGGTGATGGGGCCCCAAGTACATAATCATGGCTCTGCATGGCCCAAGGAAAGACATTCAGGGAATTTATTGGAAGATATAAGTGGCATCAGTCCCAATTGTTGATTCTTACCTGTACCTCGTGGTGGACTGGGACTATTTTTCATCTGCAAATCCATTTGATTCATGGACTTTACTGAACAGTGATCAAAAGCAGGAACCCTGCTGTCATTCCTGTCCCATCTGAGATAAGCTAATTCCTAGTTACTCACTGGATGAACTCATTGGGCCATTTTGGGGATCCATCGGAGCTGTTTCCTTCTCCTCTAAAAAAAAGCATTCAGTCTCCCTTCTGCAAAGCTCCTGGCGAAAAATGTTTGGGGATACCGTGCAGTTTTCCTGCACGAATGGATTCTCTAAGTAACTATAGAGTCAGCTCACATTTCTAATGAATAAGTTGAGGCAACTGCAGGTGTTTCAAATTAACGCATGTGGCTGTACTAACAGCCAAACAACGATGCCAGCTTTGCTAAAAACATAAGAAAAAGTCCATTTGGTCCATCAACCTCATTCCTTTCCCCATATAAAGCCAAACCTACAGACTCCAAATTCAGACTCCACCTCACCCATTCACTCCTGTGGAGGCAAAGTCTGCGTAAGGCTCACTGATCCATAAAAGGTAATCAAACCAGAACTCAAGTAACAGTCATCCTCCTCAGAATTTCATTATTCAACCCTGGTCTACTGTCCAACCAGATAGCATTGCTCCATCCCAAGGCTCCAGCAGCACATGTTAGGGGGGGAGGTGGGGCAGGAGGCCACAATGTGGCCCTCCAATAGACCAGAGGCTTTTGTGATGCCTCTGAGCATGCACGCCCAATCTCCGCCAAGCGCCCACAGCAGTCACAGGATAGGGTGGAGGGTCTCTGCGATGCAAGATGCCACCTTATAGGACAGGTTACCCTATCAATTTTACATTCTAACTCCTTACAAGAATTTCTAGAATGTGACTAGTTATGCGTTAAGCGGAATGACAAATAAAGTTGACTCCCTTAACATTTTGCCAGGATATTGACAGCATCAGTGGTAGCTTTAACAAGTTATCAGGCATTTACTGTATTTATCACCTACTGCTTTCTGTTGTTATGCCAGTGTTTAATCTAACTAGCTCATCTTCCATTCATCCATGAACGTTAACCTTCTTTGAATGCTTCAGTTGAGATACAGCCCATAACACTGTCTCACATTTCTGTTGTCCTGAACTCAGACCCTAGCATGGCCAAATGCTTCACATTACAGCCGAGTGCAAATCTAATCAATTACAATATTTGGCCACACTTTGGCCACAGCACAGCTCATTATGAGGTGTCATTTTCTGAGTCAGCTACCAGTTGGCCTTTCAAACAATTTCAAACTATTTAAACTGGGAGTCAGGCAATCTGCTGGAAACAGATTCACTCATTGTACACTTCCACCATAGAAGAGAATATGATATTTGAAGGCTACACATTATTAAATAGATATGTTGTTAGTCTCCATGATGAAGAAGGTAATATACATTGAGGAGGCAGGACACTTACTTCTGCACATTTCTGAAAAGTCAAAATAAAGGCTGAAGAAGCTTGGGATGCTTTCCTATTTCCATCCTGTTAAAAGAAATACAGTACAGTATATTCTTAAAGTTGAACGCTCACTTTGACCCTTTTCATTCTCTTCAAAATGCCCAAATTTAAATACTGTGCATCATTCTCCCCTCTCTCAAATATTACTCATTTAAAAAAAGCAAAATATTTTTTCTAATTGCTTATTAATCTCTTATTGTCTGGTAACAAAGAGGCATTCAAAACACAATTATACAATGCAAAACAAATATATATTTATATAGTAAATTTCAGGTTGGAAGGATGTTTCAAGCCATTTAATAGTCTTGGCTTGGAATTTAATTATGTTTAAAACTGGATTTTGATTTGATAATTACGTAGAATAGAATATTTATAAATAGTTCTTTAAAGAGTTCTACTGACCTGCGATTGATATTGTAAAAATCCATGGTCTATTAAAGACTGAATGGGTTTGGTCCATGACAGAAACAGGAGGAACAATGATTGGCTCCACATGCCCACTGAGGCTGCTTCCCATCGGTTCTCCTTGAGCTCGGCCTTTAGCTCTGTAAATAAACAAAAATAGAATTGAAGCTACAATATGAGGTGATAAATCCTTAGTACCCCTTCCACCTCCAGATTTAAATCAAGTGCTGTACTTATTAACAACAAATTACATTTGTAAAGTGCCTTTCAAGTCGGGAGGATTTGGACCCGAACAGGGGGTTGGGGTTGGGGTTGGGATTGGGCGGGTGGGGGGAGGCAGGTGGCAGGTGGAGGGCAAGGAGGATAGGGGTAGGAAGGTGGCCGAATACACGGTTGAAGAGGAGGGTCTTGAGATTAACCTGCAGAGCACCATGTCTATTTCACTCATCTGGCCGCGGCGAAAGCATTACGGGGTACTTCATGGGGTTTGCGTTCACCCGCTGTTATTCTGAAGATTAATTCATCAAAAATCACTTGAGTTTTACACGCAGGACATTCTCACAGAGCTGCTGCTCCTCCTCTTTTACCCGCAAAATACAGTCACTCAGAAAATCCGTCCGGACAGCTGTGGCAGTGGAGTCGAGAGCGGAGGCAGAGAGATGGGAGTTGGGTATCATCCGCACACATGCCCGTGACGATATCCCCGAGCGGGAGCATGCAGATATTAAAGAGAGAAGAAGGACGGACGGAGCCTTGAGGAACGCCGCACGTGATGTTGCGAGGGCGGGAGGAGAAGCCGTTAGCGGATACAAATGAGAGACGATGGGAAAAGGAAGACTGAAACCAGGCAAGGGCAGTGTCGAAGGCGGCGGAGAGAGCAAGAAGGACCAGGAGGCAGAGTTGGTCCAGGTGGCACTGATGCCCCTCACCCAGCAGCAAGGGGGGGGGGTCGAGGACGCATTAACAACCCTCACCCAGGAGCCTGTCGGGGTGGCACTGACTCTCCTCAGCCCGGGAGCGGGGGTCGGGGTGGCACTGGGGGTCGGGGTGGCACTGGGGGTCGGGTGGCACTGGGGGTCGGGGTGGCACTGGGGGTCGGGGTGGCACTGGGGGGTCGGGTGGCACTGGGGGTCGGTGTTACACTGGGGGTCGGGTGGCACTGGGGGTCGGGGTGGCACTGGGGGTCGGGGTGGCACTGGGGGTCGGGGTGGCACTGGGGGTCGGGGTGGCACTGGGGGTCGGGGTGGCACTGGGGGTCGGGTGGCACTGGGGGTCGGGGTGGCACTGGGGGGGGTCGGGGTGGCACTGGGGGTCGGTGTTACACTGGGGGTCGGGTGGCACTGGGGGTCGGGGTGGCACTGGGGGGTCGGGGTGGCACTGGGGGGGTCGGGGTGGCACTGGGGGGGTCGGTGTTACACTGGGGGGTCGGGGTGGCACTGGGGGGGGTCGGGGTGGCACTGGGGGGGTCGAGGTGGCACTGGGGGGGGTCGGGGTGGCACTGGGGGGGTCGGGGTGGCACTGGGGGGGGTCGGGGTGGCACTGGGGGGGGTCGGGGTGGCACTGGGGGTCGGGGTGGCACTGGGGGGGGTCGGGGTGGCACTGGGGGTCAGGTGGCACTGGGGGTCGGTGTTACACTGGGGGTCGGGGTGGCACTGGGGGTCAGGGTTACACTGGGGGGTCGGGGTGGCACTGGGGGGGTCGGGGTGGCACTGGGGGTCGGGGTGGCACTGGGGGGGGTCGGGGTGGCACTGGGGGTCGGGGTGGCACTGGGGGGGGGTCGGGGTCCGGGAGAGGGAGCGACCCCCGCGGCGATGAGCGGCTCCTCGGCCGCCGTTGCTTCAAGGAGCACGTGTCCCGCCCTCCTCGCTCTGTGATTGGACGCGCCGCGGGCTCGCTGTCAACGGACGGGGCGCGTGGAGGGAGGGGGGGGGTCGCCGCGCTGCCCGCCGGGACCTGTAGTTCCCCGGGGGCCGTCGTGTCGGGCACGGGCGGCGGCGGCGGCCGAACTACAGCTCCCGGCGGCCCCCGCGCGGGTGGTTGGGAGGGGTTGGCTGTGGAGGGGGTTGATGAACTGCGCTGGGACTGAGAGTTTGCAGAGGGAGGGGTTGAGTGGACGTTTGTGCTGTGATTGCCTTTGTGCTCAGGAGCAGAGGTTGGATTGCCTTCTCTGCTCTTGCAACTTTTCCAAACTTTTTTTCTTCTTCTCTCTCCGCCCAGAATCTTGTTTACGAGACAGCTCCCCCACCCCCCCCACTCCCTCCCCAGGCAACTGAAGCAGATTATTGTGTGTGATTTATTATATGTGTATATATATATATATACACATATACACAATCATCTGTAAAAGCGAGAGAGGGAGAGGGAGAGAGAGAGAGGGAGATGCGTGTGCTGTAGTTTTTTGGGTGGGAAGCGTCTGGAAGGAACATAACAAGACCGCCCAAGAAGGACCTCCCGTCTTCGGCTGACGGAATCCGGTTCCGGGGCTGCGGTCGGTCGACCGGTCGAGCCGCGTTGCTGTCCTGTGGCTTGTGTGTCTCTCCCGCCCCCCCCCCCCGCCGCCTCCACCCACAAACTCGTATTTCTGTCTGGGAGAGGGGTGGGGGGTGAAATATCATCGGACGATCTTCTGCGGTGTTTTGTGTGTCCCAACGATCTTATCGCTGAGTCTGAATCTCCGGCAAAAAGGGGGATTGGGGCGGTGGGGGGGGGGGGTTGTTGCTTTTTTTTATTTCCGCAAGTGCTCCTGTTGCTTGGCTTGGCGGTGTCTTGAGCGAATGGCTGGGTTTGTTTCTCGGTACCTTGGATGGCTCTGAGCTGAAGCGCTGATGACCCTGGAGTCCTGCTCAGCGCAAGCTGCGCTGGCGATCGCCTCCACTCAGTTGCAGGTTTACCCCCAGCATCTAGCGATTGCTGTGGTCCTGGGGGTGTTACTGGGATTCGCTGCTGGCGGCCTCCTCTATAAGTTTGTATTGGAACCGGCTTTGCAAAGAAAGGTAAAAGAAAGGAGCTTCTGTGCTTTCAATGCTCTGTTTTTAAAAAAAACACTAATAGCTCTAACTCTAGCATAAGAAATATTTAAACCTGTTGGTTCTGTCTCACTAACTTGAACAAGTAACATTGCCAGGAGTTGAGATCCACAACAACAACAACAACAACAAAATTACAACAACAACTTGCATTGCTATAGTGCTCCTCACACATGTTAGGGTCTCGGGAGCGCGGAGACTGGCTAGTGCGTACAATCTTATGTATTTTCATGCCATACATTGAATTGCGTTTCAATCTATTCCTCATTTCAGGATAATTATTCCAGCGGATTTATTGAAAACTCAGATTCCGAGGAAAGCCAGAGGAATGAAAGTAATACAAGAGCATTTCAAGGAATCGGTCACCAGAATCAAGGTTCCCCTTTCCTCGAGGTTTGTGTTTAGAATTTTTGCTCGATGGGGTCTTTAATTGTGGTCACCTCGGTTTGATTTATGGCGAAAAATGCCCCAAGAACAAACTATCTTGACAGTCTCCGATTCCATCCATCCTCTCTCACTCTGGCTGAACTATGCATTGTCTAATCCCTCCATCCATTTCAGTATCAAACATGATAATAATAATCCCTCCAAAACCAAAAACAATAATAAATTGGTCATTTTCAATCCACGACTGTTTGTGGGACATTGCTGTGCGCAATTGGCTGCCGCGTTCGCCCACAAATATACAGTCAATTCACTTTACAGTGTGTTCTGTGAAGCGCTTTGGGACATCCTCCCGACGTGAAAAGCGCTATATCAAATGCAAGGATTATTATTATTATTATGATATATTTTTGCCTCTGGAACATTGGCTGCTTTGAGTATTTATTTCAACCATACCGCTGTTGAAAGTCTTTTGTCACACTCAAGGATGGATTTTCCCAATTCTTTCCTCACCAGTCCACCTAATGCCCGCTCCAGAAGCTTCAACTGATCCGCAACTTTGAGGCCCAAGTTCTCTTCACAAACAAGATTCCGCTCAGTCGTTAACCCACATCCTTGACAAAGCTCAGTTAACTCCCAGTACCTCAGAGGATTGAGTTTCAGTGGAGTCCTTTAGCTCAGTGGTTAGAGCACTCGCTTTGCAAATGAGAGACCTGAGTTCAATTCCAGGCAGAGGGCGAAACCTTAGGCAAGTTTCCTTACTCCACACAGAGCCTAATAATAATCCCTCCAAAAAACCAAAAACAATAATAAATTGGTCATTTTCAATCTACGACTGTTTGTGGGACATTGCTGTGCGCAATTGGCTGCCGCGTTCGCCCACAAATATACAATCAATTCACTTTACAGTGTGTTCTGTGAAGCGCTTTGGGACGTCCTCCCGACGTGAAAAGCGCTATATCAAATGCAAGGATTATTATTATTATTATTTCAAATCCTTGATCAGGCAGCTGTAACCTCTGTTCATGTCTCATCTGTAGGAGAGAACCTCCAACATGCAGCCCTAACCCCAGCACAGGTTTGGAATACTATCAATTGCTATATACTACATGCTAACATCCGATCTGGTTGTAAGACCCAGCTGTGACCAGCACGCTTTATTTTCCAGCGACGCCTTTTTTCTTTTGGGAAGCATAGTAACCTTTATTTTTCTGGTTTCCTCCCTTTGCAATCCATGCCATTGCAAATCCCAACCTGAGAGGGCAGCGTTGCCACTGTTTTTAGGACAGCTCTTGTTTTGCTGGAAGGCAATGAAAGTGACCCAGTTCAGGGTAATTTTGCTGCGTTTTTTTTCCAGTCTCCTGCTCTTTATCGGAGAGCTACCTAATTTTATCTCAGAGGGAATAAATAAGATCAAGAGCTCAGCAACATGGCATGGCGTGTGTACTATTGTGCACTACCATTACATTTGAGTTAAGTCCTTATGGTAAGCAAGGAAAACTGATCAGGTGGTAGTTACTATTGACATAGCTGATTCATAGGTAGCGTCTCCTTTAAAACACTGAATTTTGTGTAAGAAAATGCTAATATTTATTATTTATTCAACAGGAAAATGAAACTTCATTGAATAGTGATATAGCCGCTTTTGCTCTGCGGGCAAAAGTTATATATCCTATTAATCAGAAATTCAGGGTAAGGATTCCCAGTTACTCTTGAGATTGTTTGTACTCATTGATAATATAACAAAAAACACTATTGTGTTTGTTACTGTAAACATCACCATAAATTTCTACGCTTGTATATCCAATTAAAGGGTGAATGTTCATGTGTTTTGGATTAATTTGATTTACCGTACTGAAACAAATAACCTGCAATTTAATCTGTAAATATTTAACTACACGGTAAATATACAAAATCTGGTTATCTGATTAAATGAAGACCAAAAAACGCAGAACAAATAATCCAATTATTCAATCGTTTCCTTTGCATTTCTTTGCATGATAAGGTACTGTATCAAAATGCAATGATGATTTAAAATTGAGCTCCCCCACTGTTAAATCAAAGTATTAGCGTGATGATATTGTGGATAGTTTATTATCATCATCTTCACACACAAATCTCTGCTGCAATACTGTTCCTTAATTATCAATAACAAGTGTTCTGTATTTCCAGCCTCTGGCAGATGGATCATCTAATCCCTCTCTGCTCAAGGATGTGAAACAGAGACATCAGGTCAAGAGACCACAAGAAGATACTACATTCATTTCTGAATCATACAGTCAGGAGGATGAAAAAAACTGTTATTTTACAGGAAATAATTCATCGTCAGATCCAAACACATATAAAGATGAAATATTTCCAAAGGTTACGTTTCTTCCAGAGTTACTAGTGTATACAAGGTAAGATAATACTTTAAAATGTGTTTGATAATTATGCAGTAGACATAGATATTCTATTTATAATAAACGGGAACCATACATAAAATAGAGCTCGCCCCGTTTGAAAGTGGTAAGTCCTAGTTTATCTTGCACTGCTGTTAACGGCTAAATTTAAACATTTTTGACATTTAAAAATTCTCTGTTTCTTAAAATGTTAATTTCTTCTTAATCACTACACGTAGCAAGCCAGCGCAATCTGGGTAGGAAGCGTTGAAGGTGCCCAAGGTCATGTACTGCCTGACTTTCTTTTCCTCTTAGATTTTAGAAAGATGGCTGTTTGTGGACTGTTATGTGCAAATTGGGTGCTGCAGTTACCTACAAAATATAGTCACTGTATTTTACTGTGAAATTGTATCAATCGCTTTGAAACATTTTGACAACATACTCAGGATTATATCAAATGCAAGGATTGTCAATATAGGCTGTCTTATGAACACCTTGATTCTTACTTCAGTCACTACTCCTTCACCCCAGCGCCAAGTCTTGGATCACCGTTCCAGTTGAACATCTCATTGCCATATATCCAAATCTGTTAAGAAGACTGAAGGAAGGCTAATGTTTCAACATTGTTTTTACACTTCGACAACCAAACCATACACATATTGACTAGAAATCGTCCATCTAGTTGTCCAGTTGACATTCAGGTGGAGAGTTGTAAAGTGACAGAATGGCATCCTCAAATTCATTTGATTAAAATTCTGACAATTATAAATGAAGATGAGGCTTGGAGCACAAATAATAATAATCCTTATGTTTGATATAGCGCCTTTCATGTTAGGAGGACGCCTCAAAGTGCTTCATAGAATATGTTGTAAAATTTTGACTGAATTGAATGCAGTCAATTCACTTTACAGTATATTCTGGGGACCTCTTTGAGACGTCTCAATGATGTGATAAGATGCTATATCAAATGCAAGGATTATTATTCCTAAAGTGTGGAACTTTAGGAATAATAATGTATTTTGTAGGCAATCGGGCAGCCAATTTGTCTTTAGCAATGTCCCACAAATAATCATTTAGTGAGTAACTGATTTGCACATTCTCAAAGTGCTAGATTTAACAGCAGCCTTACTATCGCTATACAATGGGGTCTAAAAAGCTCTGGAGCAGCATCACCACTGGTTTGTTGCTGACAAAAGTGCCCTGAAGGTCAACATAATTTTATCCAGGGAATCACCTGTATTACACAGTCAGGAGACTTGTGTTTGAATGAGATTTTGAATGACACCACAAGAGTTTTTTTTAGACAGTAATGTTTGTGAAATCCAACAAGGTATAAGATCTTAGGGGATGTGATGTGAACCCAAATCTTGAGTTATTTTACTTTCTTATTTTACACTACATTTGTGCTCGGGTGCTGTGACACAATGCACACACATAACATCTTTTACCTAGAATATTGTGTGCAGTTTTGGTCTCCTTATTTAAGAAAGGACATACTCGCCTTAGAGGTGGTGCAGCGTAGATTCACTAGGTTAGTTCCTGGGATGAGGGGGTTGACTTATGAGGATAGGTTGAGTAAACTAGGCCTATATTCTCTAGAATATAGAAGAATTAGGGGTGACCTTATAGAAACATATAAGATTCTTATGGGGCTTGACAGAGTAGACAGTGTGAGACTGTTTCCCCTTGTAGGAGAATATATAACTAGAAGTCACAGTCTTAAGGTTAAGGGTTAGCCTTTTCGAACAGAGTTGAGGAAACACTTATTCACTCAGAGGGTAGTGAATTTATGGAATTCTCTACCCCAGAAGGCTGTGGATGCTCAGTCCTTGAACATATTCAAGACTGAGATTGATAGATTTCTAAAAGATAGAGGGATTAAGGGATGTGGGGATAAGGCGGGCAGATGGAGTTAGGTTAGAAGATCAGCCATGAATGGCGGGGCAGGCTCGAGGGGCCAAATGGCCTACTCCTGCTCCTAATTCCTATGTTCCTATGTTCCTAACATAAGAATAATTGTTTGAGGAACTCACAGGTTAGAAAAACACATTCAATCCAGCATTAACTTAAATAAGCTGCAAACCTATTGTTATATTGTTAAAAAAGTGTCTGTAAATTGAGTTTTTATAATTATTTAACACAAAATGTTTGTGTGTCAAACATCAAAATGAATTCCTGTCTTTTGAAGATTTAGTTAAGTGACATTAAATCATTTCTTTACTCTCTCTCTCCACTGCATTTGACAGCCCTCAGATTGAGCTTGGTCTCTACAGCCTCAATTTACAAGCCTTGAAGCAGTTAGATACAGATCTCCATGGCGAAAAGTACACGGTATGGTACAGTGCTTGGAAGGATCATTGAGCACATATTAAATATCATGGGTGACTTCATATCTTCTTGTGGACCTCAGAGTCCCTGTAGTGGTGCAATCAATGTGGGAGGCCAATTTGAATAAGAAGATTTTGATTGATGAGAAAGGGATCAGATTTCTTCTCACACCCAAAATCTCCACATATCTCAAGCCCATAAAAAGGCCATCTTAACAAATTGTATTTATATAGTGGCTTTCACATCGGGAGGACATCCCAAGGCGCTGGACATTTGAAGGTTAGCCCCCGAACTGGGGGTTGAATTCGGGAGGGGTGGGGACCAATGGGGTTGAGAAGATGACCAAAGGAAAGGTCAGAGAGGAAGGTCTTGAGAAGGACCTTGAAGAAGCGAGGGAAGGGGTGAGGTGAAAGGACTCCGGGATGGAGTTCCAGAGAGCGGGGGCAGAAAGGTATAATGGTGGGCAGCAGAGAGGGGGCCTTGAAGTGAGGCTGACGATGGGCAGCAGAATGGGGGGACTTGAAGCAGGCCAGTGCCTACTGAGTGGAGGGAGAGCACAGGTTAGAACGATTTTAAAAGGTCACAGAATGGGGAGGGTGGGGCACAACTATGGAGGGCTTTAAAATAGAGGATGAGGATCTTAAACTCCATCCTCTGGGGGATGGGGAGCCAGTGAAGCCAGTCGACGATGGAGGTTAGTGGCTCGCAGGAGAGGACACAAGCTGCCGAGTTCTGAAGTCTGTAAATTGTGGAGGGAAGAGTGGGATGGGGTTGAGTGAGCACATGGTAGACTTCATTCAGGAGATGATGGAGGAAAGAGAAGAGGGAGAGAGGGTTGAAAGTGTGGAGGGATGGATTGGTGGAGGGAGAAGGGGGAGGTGGGAAGGGGTAGCATCAGAGCAGATCCTCTTGATTTTGGTCCCAAGGAAGTCCATCATCTCCTTGTATTTGGAGTTGGAGGAGAGGATGGGGAAGTATGGGATTGTGGGTGAAGGTGCTGGTTTGTGAGGCAGTCTGACTGCCAAGATGATCCTGGAGTATAAGGATGATTTGACTGTAGCAAAAGTGGAGCGATAGACTTCGGTGTAATCCAGCAAAATCTGGAAGTGAACCGTGTGGTTGGATTTAAGTCAGGTGCTTTCAGCAGCATGCACCTACGAATGTAGCAGATGTGACTGATATACCAGGGGGACGTGCGGGAGTAGTAGGTGGTCGGGGAGGTGAGGGAGCAAAGGGTGTCTAGATAGGGAGTTGTGAAGGAGGGTGTTGCAAGTTGTTGTTAAGTTATGATTAACTGTGTCTGGTCTTCTCAGATGTTTCTTCAGATACTGAGAATACAGCTGAATGACTTGTACGTTAATGAAAAAATAGAAGAGGATTTCTACAAAGAGTTCCTTTCTACACAAGAAAAGGTAATGTTTAGATCTTCAGCTACTTAAATAAGCACATTTAATCTTAATTTAGAATACGGTTTTCCACTGTTATTAAAAAGAACCAGCTTCCTAATTAAAACTGAATTTAAGAATTTTCCAGAATTTTGCACGATTTAAAATTTTAGGACAAGATGATCCTACAGTGGAATTTTGAGCGGTGGGGGTTGTTACCTCCAGTTCCTCAATCTCAGTTAGCCCAGTAGGGAGAAGCATAGAAGAAATTCTTAGTGCTTTCTCCAAGAAAAGGAGGGCTGGATATCCAGTGGCCTAATGTGTAAAGGCACTGAGTTGAAAAGTTAGAGATTTGAATGCTAGATTTTGTTGGGTTAGCTTATCTCAGCCAGGGTGGCAGTAGTGGCTTTTAGCATCTGTGGTCAAGGACAAGAGGAAAAAGTAGTGATTTCTCCTGGACAATGCATGTGCTTAGAATGGATTCCTTCTCCCACACCAGTATGGTCAAGTGACTGCAAAATGTCACTGCCTCATATCGCACGTCAAAAATTGCCAACTTGTTCAAGGTACCAGAGGATGGATAGCACACTTGGAATTATGAGTCAGTATCTTAAAGGGAGAAGAACAAGAACATTTGTAAAAAGGGTTATAAGAGAATATCCACCACTACTGTTTGGGTCGAGCTCCTGGTAGCCAGTTTTAGAGTTTAATTGGCAAATTGGTTTGTCTGCCTGTTCTTTTAGTCAGCAAGCAGAAGTACCAGGAGGAATGGACTCTCAATGAGGAGAAAATAAGTTAACATATATTAATTTCAAAACTATTATGAAGATGCATCATTATTGTAATTGTAATGCTTGAAACTGTTTTTATCCTTTTATTCAGAGACTAATCTTTGCTTGCTTAAGGACACTATTTGCATTGTACTTGTGCCAAGCGATTGAACTTACCTGTTTAACAGGAACTGGAAGAGCTCAAGAAACAGCATCAGTTTATGCCATCTGCTACAGCTGAGAGAAAGGACTCAGATGCTTGTTATACATTAGAGGAAACTGAACAAAATGAGAGTAATTATTTACAATATGCCATACGACAGGTGATAATTTAATACATTTTTACTCTTTCAAAAACAATGTACTACTACATGGCTCTCAGTTTTAACAAGCTGATCGCTAAAATGAATTACCCATTTTAATGTCTTCGAGGACCAATAGCAGATCTTTAAAATGTCTTTGTTATTTATTAACAATCTAGTTGCCTGATTGCATTTTGATTGATTTAAAGACTGAAAGTTTAGCATTTTACCATTATCAATAATAATTTGGTCACTCAATTCCCACTGTTGGTGGGACACTGCTGTGTGCAATTGGCTGCCGGTTTCGCCCATGAATATACAGTCAATTCACTTTACAGTATAATCTATGAAGCACTTTGAGACGTCTAGAAGACTTGAAAAGCACTATATCGAATGCAAGGACTATTTTTTATCAGAACAATTATTGTATTAATGATACTAGTTTTAATGATACTAAATGATACTGAATTTCAACTGCTCAATGAACTTTCAGACATATTCAGAACTTGATTCTTGGCAAGAGAGATTACATCCATTGAAACACCCTGCATAATGCAAAGCTGACAGTGCGAAGATGGTTAAATCTTTTATCTGTCTGTCTGCCAGATCAGTGGGTTCCTTGAGCAGATTAAAAATGCTCGAGGCTTCTTTCTGAATCATTCCAAGCTTCCCAAGACTACAGTGGAGGACATCATGAGGAACACATGTGAGAAAATGTACCAGGTGGAGAATCTGCAAACTGACTTCCAAAATTTGCAAGCCACGGTAGGCAGAAACTTGAAAAACATTATTGGTTTAAAATATGGTTCAAATTAAATAGTTCCACCAGTGTTTTCAGTCCATTGTTACCTTGGCCAATTTCTCATGAAAATCGACTGTGGAGAAAAAGGAAAGAGCAGTATATACTTGACCAAACTTAAAAGTAGAAGCTCCATTGGATGATTCAAAAATGTCTGTCCATTGAAAGCAGTTTTTGAACCTGCGACCTGCTGTCTCACCGGCTCAGTTTCACACCAGTTAGAGTACTGGTGGCCAACCTTTCTGGTCGGCCAACAAAGTAAATTTCCTCGATTGAATATAAATATTTCTTCATTTATGCCATAAATCAAGAAATATTTAATCAAGAAAAACCTGGAAATACAATACAGATCGAACACGGACTTCCCTAGACTAGTCAAATGTTTGGGGTGGGGGGCACGCTTCTTGACAGCCCCTTAGCCAAGAATCAGCCCACGGGCCGAAGTTTGGCCCACAATGAGATAGAGGCTTTACCAACTGACCATGATTAGAGATGAGCGAGATCCTGTTCCTGATCTCTAGCAGTGACTGTTACTAGAAAGGGCACATGTCATTGCTGGGTAAGAATGAAATCAGGCTCAGCTATTATGATGTCCAGTCACATAGCTTGCAGAGTTCACTGTCAAGGTGACTTGAAAGAATGTTCACTTGAGGGAGACATTGTAGGGTATCTGCTGCCAGTGGAACCTGGGCATGAGTCAGGAAAGGAAACGAGAAAATCAGAGGTAAAAGAACCCAAAGTGGTCTCCTTTGGCAATTACCTTCAATATGTACTGCTCTTTCCTTTCATAGGTTATTCAGGACAACCTGCTGCATTGGGAACTGATGGCAAAAAGGCTTCACTCCTTCATGTGGCTTACTCAGCGAGAAACCAGAGACAGGTCAAAGATGGTGTCATCGATCCTAGATACACTCTCCAGCGATGGCCAACTGTCTTTTATGCAAAAGGAAGAGATCTTATCCAGATTTCAGCATGATCTTCAGGACGAAATGCAAATGTGTAAGAGAGGTAAGGTTTAAACTTTGCTTGATTGGATAAGCTACATAAATCTTGAAAATACAGATTTCCTAAGAACTTGATAGAAAGAGGTATTCAAGATGCTAAATGGGATGCAAAAAGAGTGATACTTTGTGTCAAGACAGCCGGACAAGAGAATATAGGTCATGGTTGTGAAAGATAATTTTAGGACTGGTACTGGGAAATCCTTTAGAGGATAATTAACAAACTGTCTATGATGGCCAGGATGGATGGTTGAAGTCAGGATGTTGGACTTTTAAGTAAAGTTTTGATCCTGTAATGCAAGACATTAGGGTGTCTATTCTAGAAGAATTAGGTCAATTTTTTGGCAAAGAGCCATACTCTTGGGATTTATGAGCTGAATTTGTAAAGATTTTAAAAATTCATTCTTAACACTCAGCTCAGTTTCATTTTCAAATTAATTTTGAGATAACTTGTCATAATCTGTATGTCAAATAATATAAACTCTCAAAAGATTTGATTGCAGTATCCCAAGGGCATCTTCTGCTAGTATTGATTTCTACTCTTCTAGATAAAAAGATGCATAATGATCCCAATTCAATTCCCTGTCATGTTGATGATTTATTGGCTGAAAGAAAGAACGAGAATGCTGCCTGGTAATCAAAGACTATTACGTTTCAAATATGACTGTGGAAAAGAATTAATATGTCAGCCTCTTGAAAATAACATTTGTTTGCGATTCACAAAAGTTGTACATGGGATTGAGACCTCTGAATTCTTTTAGTATTTTACATTTATGAAGATTATGGCAAACATGTTCTCCATTGCCACCTCAAGATTCATTTCATTGACTCATTATTATCGATCTTGGCAGAGGCTTCCCAGTATTCTATTAACTGTGAGTTTGAATATAATGAACTGCAAGTGGATCGTGAGATGTGTGCTGTAATACTTTCGGTAGTAAATTGCAATGAAAGTTTAATAACTTTAGTGTGAAGTTAACGCAAGAATAAATTACAAGCAATAGGTATTGATTAATGAATAACGGGTAAAAATTCAACCTGGGTCAAGATTGACTCGTATTAACATTCAAAGCATCAAGAATTTGTGAAATACAGTCATTCATTTTGAAGTCCATTTTCTATAATTTTTTTCAAGAACTACAGAAAACTTTCAAAATAAAAACTGAATAAAAATGTGACTCATTCTGAAACTCAAGTTAATTGTCAATTCAGACCCTGGTGAAATTTTTCTCCAACGTTGTTTTCCCGCAGTCTGCACTAGTAACATGTATATTTCTTACAGAATGCATCAAACAGACTAAAGAGCGTGTTTTAGACATGAAGAAACAGCGCAAAGTTTTGATGAAAAGACTCAAGGATACACAGAGGAATGACACAGTGAATTTGACAGACCAAGCACAGCAGATGCTAGATCCAACTGAATTCATTAAGGTTAGACCGAGTAATCAGTGTTCAGATAAATCCGTTGAATGTGATACTATTCATGTTTAGCATCAGAGTGTGACCTCCATTGTAATGTTGTGAACACCAGGCATTAACTTGCTCATAACTCCCCTTCATCCAAGATTTCCATTCAGCTGTGCGTTCACCTCGTATATAAATAAACAGGGCAATCCCGTTAGAAGACAAATCAGTTGGTACTTCATGAACGTGCAGTATATCTGGCTTCCAGTGCTAAATAATGACCAATCTCCAGGTCTTCAGGTAGCTGCACATTTCCTGGACATGCACAGGAACCATCATTTATATCACTTCCTATTTGGTGTGCTTCAACAAGACATCCTGCTAACTTCACTTCCTACACTCTGCACATGTGCGCGCAAGTGACACAAACTCTTGTTGATGTCACTGACATCAAGGAAGTGACATAAGTGGCACTTTGCTTGAGGTGTTAAACCCGCTTACCCATTCATCAGGTAGGCATTAAAAAAAAGACACTATTTTAAAAAACAAGGTAATTTCTCATGGGAGTTCTGGCCAGTAATACTCCAGGCTAATTAGTCGCATTCACCTCATTGCTGTTCGTGTACCTTTGCTAGGCGTGTATAATGGCAGCTGCGTTCTGTCTTCAAAAACAATCACCATGCTTAGCCATTTCTGTAAAGTGCTTTGAGAGGTTTTGATATAGTTATGAATCTTGTGCAGAGCTATCATGAGCTTATGGAGCGTCAGTGGCATGTCCGCTGTGCTGCGGAGAACGAAGAGGACAATAAGGATGCCAGGGAGGTTAATGAACTGTGGAAGGTGAGTCCGCTGAGCATACTTCACAGGTTGCATGTATTAGGGAAGCAATTCTGAATGCGTTGCAAGTAACATTTCTAAAGGTTTGGATCCATTGTCTGAATCTTAAGTAAAAAAATATGGTTTGCACCGTATTATTCCACATTGTAATAATTTACCAAAGTGGGTTAAAGCATTTGGAAGGATATATTATGGTTAGCATAATCTCCAAGCAAAAAAAAGTGAACAGAAATTTAAGATTATTTCTTAGTGCAACAGTGTGATATTTCCACTCACTAGTTATTGTGAGAACACAGGAATGTACAGGACAAGAAAAGGTCATTGCACTCCACTTGACCAGTCGCAAAGTAAAACAAAAATCTCAATGTACAATTTTGGTGGAGGCTGCACCTACTTTTCAGATATCTCCCTATTCTGTACACAAAAGTTGGGTCAAAACATATAAATTTTGTAAGGACGCCCCTTGAGATATTTTAACAACACTATATCAAATGAAAGGATTATTATTATTTAATTCCAGTCTGACCATTGATAACACTCTGGAACATCCACTTGAAGAGCTGTACACTCCTTGGTTCCAAGTGTACCACGCCTCCTGTTTAGTAGGTCACAGTAGACCCACACTGTAAATGAACCTACACTTAATCATGATACATTCTAGCATGATGGGCTTGTACTACTTTTTTCAGAGACTTCATTCTGCCTCATCCAGCGCTGCAGAGAAACTGGTCAAAGAGCTTTTTCTAGAGACTCTTCCAAACCTGACAGAAGTACCTTCATGTAAAATGGAAATTCTAAGGACTCACATGCTGCAAGATCTAACAGCAAGCAAGGAGAGAGCGACAGAAGAAAGAAAACGGCATCTGAAACTGGTCCAAGATAACGTGACCCAAGTGAAGCAGGCATGCTGAATAACCAATGCTATCTTCTCTGTCATTCATTGGCTATTTCACTGGCTGTTTCTCTCTGCCATTCACCATTGCCTTGCCAGCAGGGTGAGCAGAGCCACTCACCAGCCATTATTTAGGCCACTCTTTCAGCACTTAGTAATAGGTGCCTAACAATAAATGGGACATATCCTTGATTTCTTCTTTACAGAGGCAGCTGCCCTCTGTTTTCCATGGCCCACTGGCAGTTCGGAGAGCTCATCATATGTGGAATCCTGGGAGTGACCATGTGTCTGCCACTGTACCAGTTTTTGGAACCAATTCCATAAACAATTGGATTACCAGTCAGTTAACAGAACTGTGCACTTGATCAGGTTTTATAAATGGTTGTTTTGTGTAATTGGCAGCACCTTTTAGGATATGTGGAGTTCTGTAGCCTATTGGTTAGAGCACTCAGCTCACAAGCGAGAGGACCCCAATTTGATGTGGTAGGGCGAAACCGTAGCCAAGCTTCCTTACTCCATAAGCCTGTTTACCGAGCAGTGAGTAAGAACCTTGTTCGTATTTACCACTAAGTAAACAGGCAGATCATTTTTCAGGGATAATAATCCCTTCCAAAAAAATAATAATAATAATTTGGTCACTCAGTTCACGACTGTTTGTGGGACACTGCTGTGCGCAATTGACTGCCGCGTTTCATCCACAAAATATAGTCAATTTACTTAACAGTATATTCTGTGAAGCGCTTTGAGACGTCTCAATTCATGACCAGGCACTATATTAAATACAAGGATTATTATTACCTTAGATTACTATTATCATGATATCTTTCACTGTGGCTTTCAGACTTGGCAAGAAGACCAGGTACTTGCTTCAGCGAAGCAGCAACATCTGGTCGACCAACAGGAGAAGATCATTCAAGGCTTCCTAAAGAGACAGAGTGGCCTGGACGAGGAGTGAGTATGATTTGCTTGAGTAATGGTAGTCCATAGTAACATAGAATCATAGAAATTTACAGTACACAAGGAGGCTATTCGGCCCATTGAGTTGGCACCAGCTCTCAGAGTAAAGTGCACAAGCTGAGCACGGCTCTCATTCAATGCCACTAACCTGCTCTATCCCCAGACCCTTCTAGCCCTCAAATTTTTATAAACGTCCCTACTTCCCTCTTGAAACCCACAATAGACACCCACAATTTACTGAATCATTTAACAGGAAACAGCTAAAAACATCCTGAAACTAATGGTAGCTTCCACAGTTAACTCCCAACTAACCCAACTGAGATTGATTAATTCAGCGCAGACCAGATTTTATTAGTCTCACTGTATGATCTTATATTCTTATATTTATACACAGTTTATCCTGATTTCTTTGTAGACAAGCTGTTTTCAATCTTTGACAGCTTCCTTGTTGCTGGTATCATGGATTATCCTGCTGTCCCTTCACTGTGCGCTGTTTCAGCATCACTTGCCGTGCTCTCTCACTGCACAAACTGAATTGAGGATAACCAGATACAGACTGAGCTTCACAGAGAGAATATCATTGTAAAGTCACACCTATTAATATTAGAGGCACTCAATATTTATTGATTGCAAGTGTACTAAGCAAGCAAAATATTAAATTTATTCTACATTTGAGAGAAACTAAAACCTCATTGCCATGCGTTTTGCTCATAATATAAACTGGAATGTCTGTTATTCTCCACCAAAATCCAAATAATACAGCATAGTCGCATTATATTGCATTCCTTGGACATTCCAAGAATTTATATCCCTTTTATTCATCAATAAGCAAGAATAGTCTTTCACTATCTCAAAACCTTGATGAATTTTTAAGAGCTCAATTTGATCTCCTCTTAACCTTCCCTGTTCCAGTAGAAACAGACCAATCGTTTAAGGCGTATAACGATAACTATAGTTCCTCATCACAAGTAATTCCTACCTTAATTCTGTACACATTATATACCGTAATTACCACTAGCATTATTTTGACCTTTAGCATTGTTTGTCCTTTGTGTCTGATTAACCTTTCCTTTGTGCCCACTCACAGTGCAATCTCCAGTTTAGCTCCTAACTGTTGCACATGTAATCAGTCTGTGTTTGTGTTCTTCACATCTGTATATAACCTGTTCTTTCAGGGTTTCTAAACGCATTGTGCTGGAACACAAGCTGGCTCTACAAGCCATGGTCAGGCAGCTAGCTCTGAGGCAGCTCAGTCTCAAGATGCTCAAAGACATGAGGCTTTCCAAGGGAAAAAGTCTACTGGAGGAACTCAGGGACCAACAGATGAAAGAATCAGCCATTTGGGATCAGGATGAAGATGAGAACAAGAGGCTGCAGAAAAACCTGGTACAGAAACCATATACAATCCCTTCAGTCAAAGATACTCAGGATAAACATAATATGTACAGTCAAGCTTTAATATCAAACTACTGTTAACATATGTGATATTAAATTCATCTTATAACTGTTGTATAGGAGGTTGTATTCAATGTTGAACTGGTGAACATTTATTAGTAATAATCAGGTCCTCTATGGGCAGTGATGCTAACATCTTATATTAGTATTAGTGTTTATTTAATGTTAAATACACCTGATGGGTACACATGGTTTTCATGTTAGAGATGAAATTTGTTAAGTCATACCCCTAATGCATTCCAAATGGGTCTTCAGGCTAAAACCTGCTTTGTAATCAACTGCCAATGTCAAAATCACTGCATGAGATTGGAGTAAAAAGTTGAAGGATTCTATGTGGTACCCAGACTAGTATCAGAATTTAATTCGCAATAACTCTTAGGGGATTGCTTATTAAGGAATTCTCGTCATACAATTACAGATTTCTTCCAGTAACCAGAATTCTGCCATACCAGCCCATGGGGTCCAATTTGTGTTGATTCTTAACAGGATTCCTTATTACAATACTGCAAATTTCACTCCATCAGAGTATCCACTGGATCTTACAATCAATAGTCTGATGTCAATACTCTGGTTAGATTTGAACCCAGAATCCAATATAATGGGTAAACCAGTACACTATCTAGATCTCACAATCTCTTCACTATTCAGTTTTCTTTATTTAATAACCAAAGTTTTTCTTCCACCCTGGATGTTCTGAAAACTAAATCTTCTCATTTTAATGTCATGAAACAGATTATTTTCTTGGGATTTTTAACTTGAGATGTGAGGTATCAGTTTTGCTCTTTCACCCTCTCTATTGCACTTTCACGGCCTTTCATTACAGATTATTCTACACCAGTAAAGTTGAACTCAGACTTGTATAATGAGTAACTTATACCCATTTACACAATGGGATGGGATGCAATTGGGGAAAAAAGAGAACTTATTTTTATTAGTCAGGAGATGATCTGGACACATGTGAGCCTTCTGAATTGATTTGGATCAGAAATGAACCTTTGATTGTGCTGATCATGAATATCATTGGCCACGTATCTGAGATTTATTCAGATTGGGATAGAAAGTTATTCAGCCCAGGAGAGGGTGCTTGTAATAATAATAATAATAATCCTTGCATTTGATATAGCGCTTTTCACGTCGGGAGGACGTCCCAAAGCGCTTCACAGAATATACTGTAAAGTGAATTGACTGTATATTTGTGGGCGAACGCGGCAGCCAATTGCGCACAGCAATGTCCCACAAACAGTCGTAGATTGAAAATGACCAATTTATTATTGTTTTTTTTTTGGGTTTTTTGGAGGGATTATTATTAGGCGTGTGGAGTAAGGAAACTTGCCCAAGGTTTCGCCCTGCCTGGAATTGAACCCAGGTGTCTTGCTTGCAAAGCAAGTGCTCTAACCACTGAGCTACAGGACTCCACGCAATTGTAACAGATTCCGTGGAAAAAGTGCAGCCGCACTTTTCTATTGGCCCAGATTATAGCTCACAGAAGTGATGGGGGGGAGCCTGTTCCACTGATCTATATGATTTACTTTAGTTTATTTTTGGATTTTGTTTTCAAGCTGGCGGGATTGTCTGAAGACCAGGATAAGCTGTGCCAAGAGACTGAGACACTCATTCATAATCAGCTCAATGAGGATACCCAGGCAGCCATGGATCATTTAAGGCATTTCATGGAGCAGGTGACCGGTATTGCTCTGATCGAACATGCCAGTCTCCATTCAGCCAAACAGCATCATGGACCAAATAGCGAGAAATTGAAGGTAGCGTTGGGTATTGGTCCATGCCCGCTGGAGCGTATTGCCTTGCGGTTGATTACCACTAACATTTCACCAAATCTTGCCATGCTGGGACTCATGTGGTAACATACAATAGCCAGGTCCTAGTGATCCAAGTGTGAAGGTTCCATGCTGTAGCTAAAATATGTGTTTAAAACTCTTTTGTACAGACCAGAGTATTTTTAACAGACTGTACTCATCCTTAGAGATGCAGTCCTCTTTAAATGGGAGTCAATGAAGTAGCTGAAGAGATCGTGTCCTCGGAGCATGAATGTATTCGTAGGCCATGGTGGGGCTGTGTCACCCTGGCTCAGCGGTACCATTCTCGGCTCTGAGTCAGAAGGTTGGGGGTTTAAGCCCGACATCGGGACTTGGAATCACCTGGTCTAAGCTAACCTCCAATGCAGTGATGGGGGTGTTTTGCATTGTTGGAGGTTCTCATCCTTTGGATGAGACATTAAACCGAAATCCCATCTGCTTATTAGGTTAGACATTAAAGATCCCACAGGACTATCAAAAAGAGAAGTGAGTTTCTCCCGATGTCCTGGCCAACAATCCCCAAAATAAAATTGTTCACTCACTCCATGGCTGTTTGTGGGACATTGCTGCATGAAACTGGCTACCACATGAGCCCACAAAATAAATACACAGTTAATCCACTTTACAATATACCCTGTGAAGCGTTTTGAGACATCTCAATGACTTGATCAGACACTATACCAAATGCAAGGATTATTATGAGGGAATCTGGGTTTGTTGACAGACAAGCAAATAATTGAAACTGCTGTTAACCTTTGCATATTCAGAACGAAATGATTGAAAGAGCAGCTGAGAGCGTTTATGTGACTATGGGAGGAGCTGCCAGCCTGGTCCAGAATTATTATCAGGAGATCGAAGAGATCATGAAAGCCTACCGACAAGACAAAAAGAAGCATCTGATATCCATGCAAGGTCTGTTGAACATAATAGCTTTCCTCCTTAGGCTGATACACCGGAATTGTGATCCTTGTAATGGCTTGACAAATCACTGTTCCACTGATCTGTATTTGTTACATTTGCACTGCTGAACTGTAGTGACACATACAACCTTTCTTTTGAACACCTTTGTGTTTGAACAGAGACTTTAAAAAATAAACAACTGATTGAGGAGGAGACATTGGTGGAGAATCTGAGCAAAGACATGAACGTGAAGATGCTGACACAAGTGACCGGGATTCAGCAAGAGTAAGTAAGAACTGATTGATGAATGGCTTGAGAGTGTATTTTAGCATGAGCATATGGATATAGCCTCTCTTATACATGGCTATAGCCTTTTGGATATGGCTGTAGCTTATATATGCCTATAGCTTCTTCTATAATTGGAAACGCCATCCATCACTGGCACACACATCACAGATACATTAACTAGTGTTAGTAGATTCAGCATTTTAAAAAAATCACCTAGCTCATTTCATTAAGCATCACAGGAAACAAAAGAGGATGGCTAATGCCTCTTTTTTTATAACTGGGTACAGCCTCTCGTATATAGTCTATAGTCTCTTTTATAATTGGAAATACCATCCATCACCTACCCACACATCAGACATAATTACAACAACAAAATTACACCTTTCACGTTGGGAGGATGTCCCAAGGTGCTAGAATGCCTAGTATTACTAGTATCATCAATAAAAACTGGGATGCTAATGTTGGTATTATTGACTACGGGTAATTGCAAAGGTGAGAAATGAAGATGTTTAATTTCCGAATGGAAGCCTGAGTTATTATCTTCCTCACTTCTGACAGAATGGTGCTTCATCAGTGGAGAACGGGAGCTCAGCTTGTACTGGAGCAGGACATGAGACTGGAGTTCCTAAAGCAGAGAAAACCACTCTTTCACTGCCTTAAGAGACGGGTTGATAAACGACTGCAGGTACAGCACTGGTCTCATGAGGCGTTGGGGTGGGGGGGAGAATGCTTTCTCTGCTTATTGTGAGTTTACTGACCTTGGCGGAAAAGGAATGTAATACCGTGGGGTGATGGTTAACATTGTAAGGAACTGCAGAATTTCAGTCGATAATTACCGAGAGATTAATTTGATTCAGTCGCTACTAATCTATCAATTCAAACAGGTAATTGTGTTTGTCTTTCTAGGTGCTATTTCGTCTATTAATGTAATTATTAAAACATAGCTGCTTCATTCATTGTTAGACCTCAATAGGCTGAAATTAATTTGTTAAATCTTTAAAATCAGGAGCTGCGTTTTTCATATTTGTGTAAATTATATATAGCTTTTTCCTCTTCAGGTAGCAGAGCAAAATTTCATATCACAGCTTGCTGCTACAGCCAGATTTCCCCAAAGAGATTGGAAAGCACCAGAAAACAAGTTCATTTCAGGTACGTCTCTAGGCAAAAAAAAATGTGATTTAGACTTTCAAAAGTGTGAATTGAGAGTGGATTGTAATAATAATAATCTTTGCATTCAATATCGTGCCTTTCGCATCGGAGGATATCTTGAAAAGCTTCACAGGATATACTGTTATACTATAAGGATACTGACTGTATTTTGTAGGCAAACACAGTAGACAATTTGCGCACATCAATGTCCTACAAATAGCCATGATATGAATGACCAATTTTATTTGGGGGACACTGGGAGAAACTCCCTTCTCTTTTTGAATAGTGCTATGGAATATTTAACATCCAACAGTACGGGCAGACAATGTTTACCTGATGGCCCTTTCAACAATGTAATGCACCCCCAGCGCTGCACTGGAGTGTTAACCTGGACTATATGAGTTCTAAGTTCCACGGTGGGTCTTGGCTGTAGTCACAATTATTAATTGTGATTACAGCCAACCCACCATGATTTATATAAAGTCACATTCCCATGGTCTTCTCTTTCTGCACAGGCCAGTCTGAATTTATAAAGATACTTAAGTGTTTGTTCAAGACAGAAACATTCTCTTGTTCACGATATTCATCAACTGATTAATCATGTAACATCCCTTGTAAAACACTTCTTGCTACAGTACCATTATTCTTAACTTATTTTGCCTTTTCCAAACAGGACCCAAGAGTGCATCTAAACAGTAGCTCAGAAGCTTCCCACTTCCACAGCAGATGGGCGGGCAGTGATGTGATGTAGAAATAGAAGCCAGGATGAATGTGCAAATTATACTCCTGGAATAAAGGAAAGAGGTTGCAGCCCTCTGGAATTTGATATAAACAGAAGGCAACACTTGTAAATTATTGTACTTACAAAATTTAGAGCAGCAGCCTAGTTTTTACTATTCACTCAGTATTTTAATTTTAATAATAATATAATCCTTGCATTTGATTTGCAATAGCGCCTTGTCACGTCATTGAGACATCTCAAAGTACTTCACAGAATATATTGTAAAGTGGATTGACTGTGTATTTTGTAGGTAAATTCTATTATGATATAGTGAGTTTAAAATTTCCAGACTGATTTCACACACATGCTGGCAAACACTCCCCTAAGTTTAAATTGGGAATTTCTCATTGCAAAGCGTGCTTAATTGACCAAAGAAAAATGAAAAACAAAACACCAACAATAACAACAATTTTTATTGATATGTGGCCTTCATGTGGGGTAGCAACTCGGAGTGCTGGCTTAAGGTTATTCATCGTCTTAAAATTTGAATTTCGTAAAGAATTGTGAATTCAGTTGGAATTCAGAAGCCAATTTTCCACAGTTCTTCTTGGGCATTGATGAAAATTGGCTTCCAAATTGATATTGAATTTAAGACCTGGTTCCAAAATTCCACACAATTTTAAATTTCAAGACAAATTGAATAGTCTTAAGCCTAAGAATATGAGAATTTCCAGCCTCCAGTGGTGCTGTGGATCCAGGGTGATGCAACACTGGAGGCTAGAAATTCCCTGGAGACTGATAATGGTACTGAAAATACCATGCATTGTAATGATAGATTGCCAATGTNAAAAAAAATTCTAAAGACAATAAATTGTTTGAAATTACCTAATGTTTCAAGATTGATTTGTGAATGCCTGTGATTTTTCTTCCATTATTTTAGACTATCCTTTTGTTACTCTCTTCTGCCATGTTTTCTTGTTAATAAAACAGTTCATGAATATACTGAAGACATATCTGAGTGTGCAACAGACCTATGCTGATTGGGATTGCACGTTTACTCCTGGTCTGTGCATATCTCAGCTTGGAGGGTAGGCGAGTAGTGAGCTACAGTAGCACAGCAAGTCACCTCAGCATCCCTCAGTTAGAGAGGAGACAATTCAGCAAGGATTTCTGTGCACAGTAACTAACCAGTCATCCGAGATGGAAAGCAATATGTGTGGATGCCAAGTAAGTTGCTGTGGAGATAATAGCAGCCCAAGTCCTGCTGCTGCAGAGGACAGTGTATTGTCTCAAAGAGCTGTGTTTGCCATGGTATATCTATAAACAGCTCCAGCTGTCTGACAGGAAATTTATGAGCTGTGATTCTGCAACTGTCTACCCCAAAATAATTTGCCTTGGAATAAAATAGATTACCTGTGCAGAGTAACCACTGGGTGCTTGGAAAGACTCCAGAGTAGGTTCTTTTTGCTACACTAGGGTTTGGTTGTCAAAGAGGTGCACCTCCCCAACCAATCTCCCACATACTTTGTGATAACTCACCAGCCTCCGCCAGGCCTGCCATGCGAGCATCAGGCCTTTAGGAGAGTGCACCGAGCCCCACTCCTCCGCCACAGCAACTCATCTCCCCGCCACAGCGCCCCACCACCCCCGCCACAGATTCCCACCCCCTGCCACAGCAGCCCACCCCCCGCCACAGCAACTCATCCCCCCGCCACAGCAACTCACCCGCCCTTGCCACAGCGCCCCACCCCCACAGCACCCCCCACCACCCCCCCACACAGTGCCTCAGCACCAATAAAAAGCGGGCATGCTCACCGTCCATTTTGATGATTGACCTAATTAAAAGCTGCTCCAAAGCCTGGCGTGCAGTTTGTGCGTAGAATTCCACCGCTGTATCTGGGTGTGTCTGGAACAGTTCTGGTTTAAGTGTTCGTTGTAGCAGGGCAGATTTCCATCGGGGGGAAAAAACAGGTCGTGCTTTTGGGATGGTTAAAACTGGAGGTTTGTTATACGCAGGGTTCGTTATACAGAAGTTCGACTGTATTTCTTTTGCGAGATATATTGCAAGATGCACAGGAGCTGTCTTCCGGCATTGAAACTCTTCTCTTTTCAAATAGTGTCACGAGTCTTCAACATCCACTATAATAGGTCTGCATGACATCGGTTTACCTCAAACAATGTTCCACTCCCCCAGCAGTAGACTGAAGAGTCAGTCTGGACTCTTTGATTATTACATTAATAAATATTAATCACCTGATTCAAAATCTACTTATTATGTATCTCTTCCCATATTTTTTCTACATCTTCTGTCCATTTAATCTATAAAGAGAAATTGTAAATTTTCAACCTTAGAAAAATGTAGCAGATCACAAGACAATTGACCTGTATTTTTGTTCTGATTAATGTGATTGTTAAGAAGTGAATCTTTCGGCAGTCGAGACCAATAGCCCAGGAATTTTAACACATTTTTGAGCACGATGTCTATGAAACAAAAAGCTTTTTGCTGAAGTGCATTTTAGACCAGCAATCGCTATCCCGAACAGGAATCTCATTGAATGGTACAGAGGTGATCTTTCTTACTCCATTAAATATCAGAGTGTATGTCCTGCTACTGTATTTAAATGCTAATGGTATAATTGTATTATTATAGTTTTATTTTATAACAGGGTATATGAAGGCTGGAGGCTTCAAGGGTGTGGTCATAGGGTAGTGGGATTCAAAATCCATCCTGCTCTGAGAAATTGTGCTGACTTAATAGGCTCCTTCTGCACAGTAAATTTCTATGATTCTATGCAATCATTTTAAACCAAATCCAATACAGAAACTCTTGAGCAATATCACTGTCTTAAAAATTCCACTTTAATGATTTTACTTTGGATCATTCATGAAATTACACTCCCAATTGCAGTGATAAGGGCGTGTTTCATTGCCACAGCTAACAACCAATGCCTCGTCTAACTGTTCAGGTGGATTTTAAACAACCCATGCATAGTACTACTCAAAAAAGAAGGGAGTATCTCCCAGTGTTGTGGCCAACAAGCCCCTTAATAAAATTGGTCAAATGCAAGGATTAACATTATTAATAGTGAATAAAGTGCTGCAAGACTGAAATAGTGTACTGAAAACAGGTGTATTCAGCTTCTACAAATGCCTCTGGCCATTTCCAAAATAAAGTATTGCTGTAAAATATATAGCAAAACACAGAGTGTAGTTTTTAGGTGTAATTTATTTATTTCACAACCTTAGGGCTCAAGTGAATAATTCACTACAGTACTCAATCTGAAATAGTAAGTACAAATGCATGTGAATACAAAGAAAGAATCAGTATCAAAAAGTTAAAAAAAAATGGCTGTGGTGTTAGACTGCATGAAGACCACTCTCCTGCCAACCAGTCACTTGTGCTTAATACTGCTTACATTTCTCGTGCTAAGATACATCACTTGTAAAATAGCTCGATTTCCTTTTGCTAAAATTGTTTCTTTAAGCTTTCCAATGTGAAAGATTTTTCAACCTTACAGCAAGCTGAAATCACAACGTAAACTCGGAAATGATTCAGCAAGATGTTTTTTTGTGAAATCACGATGTAAACTCTGAAATGACTCCACAAAATGCTTCAGCATTTGTCTTTTAGTGTCTGAAGTTGCAAGTGAGTAATTCTTAGCTGCACAACTAACCTTTTCTCAAGCATTTGCTTGAATGCAAGGTACACGCTATGGTTCAGTTCTCCAAATGTCAACCACGATAGCCCTGTGTTGCACAGTTCTATAAACTTTTCAACCTTCCTATTCCCCGTTATATTCTTGATGATCGAAACAATAAAACATTAAAAGATGCGGCACTATAAAGCTGCACCGGTTTAGGAAACGCAGTGTGGCAAAAGCACTTTAGCTCTTGGCAATGTGTCCTAATTTTATTTATTTATTTTCCTCAATACACAAAACAACTTGCATCTTTTAGTATCATGCACTAACTCCCTAAAATAGCTAAAATGTGCAAAAGACCCTTATTAAGTTACAAGGAACATGACTATACCAGTGCAGTGAAGGGTAATGGTAAGGTAAAGGAAGCACTATGCTTTAAGTGATGATGGCATGAAGAACACCTCTGTGGCGGTCAATTCCAAGCAAAACACATCACATAATTAACCTCATTCTATAGAACAAACATACACGCGCACAAGTTTTGTTTCATTTTATTTTTCTGAAGTATCAGAGAACACCGGTTTTCGTAACACTTATAGCTTAAGGGGAAGTGAACCTGCTTTGTAGCAGCCACCAGCAGCGAAACCCTGCAGTCATTGTCACCCTAGGCTGGTGATGTTGGAGCGTCCTCCGGGGGGATTGACAATACGATGTCCGGATCGTCGCGGGATGTTGTCATCCGCCTGGGCACCTAACAGGTACAACACAGCCAACCGGTTACAAATGTTACATTTTCTAGTAAGCATGTTTGGAGGAAGTCCAAAATATAACAATAGATACAGTAAAAGATATAAGAGATCCAAAGATTGGTGGATTACATGTAATCCATTAAGTTATAATAATAATAATAATAATCCTTGCATTTGATATAGCGCTTTTCACGTCTTCTCGACATCTCAAAGCGCTTCACAGAGTAGACCGTAAAGTGAATTTGACTGTATATTTGTGAGCGAACCACTTATTGCCATTCATATGAACATAGCAAACTACAGCTTTCTTCAGCAATGCCTAAACCATTTCTCCACTCGTGCTATTTGGCAATTACTGCAAAGCTGTTGTGTGTTGCTAACAACAGACGGAAACAAGGCACTGTATTTTCAAAAGGGCTGCAGATGTGGCACCCATTTCCCTACAGAATTCCTGTGACCTACAGGTAATAATTGGATAAGGGAAATTCAAATTGTTTTCCATTAATGTCATTAAACAGGCATAATATTTGCTCTTAAATGTCTGAATTATGTGCCACTTTTAGAATGGCCGTAGTGATTAGATTTGTCCAAAAATATAATTAATTCACTTTACAGCATAGTTTGCGAAATGTTTTGAGACTTATTGAAGACGTGATAAAGCGCTACATAAAATGGAAGGATTATTATTATTAAGTAGGCACTAACATTCTGTGCAATTACCCTTTCATTAAAGTATTAATGTTCTGACTGTCCAAACCACTTTTAGTCAAGCAAATATATGTGAACATCACAGCAAGTAACACAAAAAGATATAGTACACACTACTACACAGTTTGATTATGACTTGTGGGGATCTAAATTGGATGTAATTGTTAAAATAGCCCCAAATCCTGTTTGCCCTGTTTACTGTTGCCTCACACTATTTTAACATTGAGACAATGAGACAACTAACACCCCTAGATCATTTTCAGCTCCCCCCCCCCACACTCCCCCACCCCAGCAAGCTCTATCGCATCCAAGGATGTTTTTCTTATTTCCACTTCTTCAATTCTTACTTATGCATAGCTTACATTAAAGGCTAAGATCATGATGGATTTCAGGACCTCAGGCTTCCACTAAGATCCTGGTTATCTTGAAATCACCATGTGAGTCTGGGTTTGAACTGACTGTATATGTTCCATTATTACAACCCCAGTGCACTGCAGCACCTCCCGCTCATAATGCTGTTAGGTTTAAGATATAGAAATGTAGCAAGATTACTTATTAATCTTTTAAATATATATATAGAAATTTTTTCTCATCATGGTGAAGGATATGAATCATTCGACCAATGTTTCCTCTTTTCTGCTATTGGACTATTACCATTGTTATAGTACGTTTCGGGTTGGATTGACAATTGAGTACCAATTTTCACCATTTTGTTGGGAGTTTGTGCTGTGGACTCACCCACTTAGAGCTGGGTTAAGGCAACCACTACTCAAAACATTTCATTTTGACGCCAGTCCCCTTAACAAACACATTCATTTCTATTATTCACTTAGTGCAAAATTAGTAAGTACAGTATGAAATTTCATCATAAATAAAAACATTCAAATACATCACTTCTTTTTATCAATCAGCAAATGACAGACCCCACAAGTATACCCACTGAATATAGTAATGTGCTGTGGCTCAGAAAATAAGGCAACCATGGACTCCTCCACAACCACCGTTCTTCATCTGTGACCAAAACCAATTGATAAGAGATGCCCAGTTGACAAAGTGGGCGATTACCACCACAATCACTAAAAGAGAAGGTCAATCAAGTAACACATGACATGAGTCAGAACCAATGCCAGAACCAAAGCCATAATAATACTTGCATTTGATGTAGCGCCTTATCATGTCTTCGGACATCTCAAAGCGCTTCACAGAATATGCTGTAAAGTGAATTGACTGTATATTTTGTGGGCGAAAGCCATGGGATCTGAAGATGAAAGCTCTCGTTTTAAAATAAGCTTCTTCGATAACTTGCCTGTTTAGACCAGTACCAAAAACTGTGCAAAATATAAATCAAGCACAGTGTCCATAATGTAGATATTGTTTAGTTACATTTGGTTTTTATGCAGATGTTAAATGTCTCACCTGATAGACTAAAGCCAGACTGGTGTAGGTTCCGGATTGGTGGGGGCTGTGGTTTGGTTGGAGATGACTTAGTCGAAGGGGCTGGAGTGATATATTTGGGAGTGACTGGAGAGTCATATACTGGACCATCGTACATCCCTCTGGACACTGGGTACAGCTCCGTCACCTTACCAGAGGCAATGAGGAGGCACATGTAAATTGGGCGAAACCATCAGATAAATATAATAGGAGAAGCATTTAGGTTAATAATATTTTATAAACTCCATTCCTATTGATCACTGGATAATACCGGATAAACACATTCACATGCTGCTCACTGTACAAAACCACTGCTAGGAAATGTTTAACTGTTGTCCTGAAATGATGTCACTGTCTGAACAGAATTTCAAGTCATGTGCAGTGCCAGCTTCTTACCATTATATTTTGAGGTTACAAGCGCTGGCACTGGAGCCGATATGTCGATAAGCAAAACAATATCCCACCTTTTACTGTCTCCTAAAATAATCTCCCGGCTTCAGCCATCGCAGTGATTCAATAGAGTTTTAAATTGAGGGGATGTTTTAATAATAATTTTCTATATAAATATCGCCATGATAGTGTAAATAGCATTAGCACAAAGACAAGGTCATAAGATTAAAGGGTTTCAATGTGCACCAGTAACAGCAAAAATAAGTACTGATACAATCTCCTGACATTGGACTATTGTTAATCCAATGACAAATAGATTGACTGCTATAGGGAAAAGTTACTTCATATGTATCAGCTTTCGATAGTATGGCATAAACTTTGTTAAAACTACTCTTACTTTGCCCCTACTTCTCTCTCTCTCTGTTTCTCTCTCTCTCTCTCTCACACACACACATACACATATATAGTAAAACATAAAATGTTCAGTGCCATGCTCACCTTGTTCCTGATCTTGATGCGCTGGTATATATATTCCGGGAACTGTTTACGAGGAATGAAACGGCCTGTTCCCTGGTTAACATGGAGATTTCCATCTTCCAGCACAATATTTCCCTGACTGATGACCACCAATGGGGCACCACGACACTCCATTCCCTCAAAAATATTATATTCCACAGTCTACAGAAATTAAACATTATAAAAAGATATAATCTACATCCTTTGGAAATGAAACAATATATTACCAACAATCAAATTATTTTTTAATAAAAGATCCAACCCATAATAGTTTGTCATGTTCTTCTCTCTTGCAAAATTCAGAAAATAGAATATGCATTTTATGGATCATGACTTGACACAGGCAACAACCAGTTGCATTTATGTAATGGTAATCCTTATATTTGGTATAGAGCCTTTCACGTCAGAAGGACGTCTCAAAGCGCTTCGCAGGATTTACTGTAATGTGCAGTGACTTGTGTGTTTTATGGGCGAACGTGTTTTATATAACGCCCTTGCTGTAGGATAACAGCTCAGGAAATGCTGTGCAAAGGTGGATTTCTTGTGGAACAAGAAGGTCCCAATTCGATCTCTGGTTTATGCTGTTAGCTGATCCCAGATGTTGAGAGGTGCTACAATTCACCTCAGTGACCTTGGTTACTGAGAAGAGAAATAGGCAATCAGAGTTCCAACTCCAGATTACTATCGACTGATTCCAGGCAAGGAGGTGCTCATAGGTGAAAAAATGCTACCATGGGCCAGGTAACTGACACTCCTGGAATAAAAGCCTGGTTAGGCGATTCCTTCTGGGCAAGAGGGAAGAATATTGGAGGAATTTAATCAATTTTAAAATATTTTGAAGTACAATCAAGCTCACACTATTCATAAGGAAACTTGATCCTTACTTGAGGGAGAAGAGACTAGTGGGGTAAAAGGAAACTCATAGGAGGATAAACACTGGCATGAACTATTTGGGCCAAATAGCCTGTTTCTGTGCTGTATCCAGGCTCCTTGTGTCATAACGTGCTTCAGGGGGTTTTCTCTAATGTATAGGGATTGTATTTATAGGTGAACACAGCAGCTAATTTCAAGCCTCATTAATGTGCCAAGTTTGCTGAACTTCAAAGTTAGAATTTCTACATCATACAACAGCTGGACTGTTTTGCCTATAATTATTAAACTTGTTTAAAACAAAACAAATTTAAAACGAGATATTTGGCAAATTTCTACAAATACACATAAAAATAAATCCAAGAATAAAGAGATGCTCCTTACTGAACGGTGTGTTTTGGCAGAGATTGTTTTAACAGTATCGGGATCCCAGATGACGAGGTCAGCATCAGAACCCACAGCTATCCTTCCTTTCCTTGGGTACAGGTTAAAGATTTTGGCAGCATTGGTGCTTGTGACAGCAACAAATTGATTCTCATCCATTTTACCTGTAGCCTTTAAACAAAGATGATAAAAGACTCAAGTTACAATAAAGAAAGAAAGAACGAGAGAGAGAGAGAGAAAGGAAGGAACTGCCTGATTGCTTTGAAACGTTGTACAGAACTGCACAAGGTGGACAAATTCCCTTCTCTTTTTGAATAGTGCCATTGGATCTTTAATATTCTCCAACACCTAAGCCTGAAGATGTTTTATATATAGCATGCTTCCTTGCTCCCTAAATGCTGAGCTAAGAAAGCTATTGCCTACAGTGAAACTGAGCCACAGAATCCCAGAAGTTTTGACCTTCTGTCTACATTGAGATAAATGACTTCAACTAAACTCAGGCAAGGAACCAATATTCAGTCAACACACATAATGTGTATGTAGCAAATGTCAATATCTTCAGGACAGGAGGGGAGACTCTAGAAGGGAACCAAATGCAATCATTTATTTTGACAATCTAGCTATACAGCACAGTTGTTGGGTGCTTTCTGCCATCTTCCTGACTAAGGACTGTGTGTTATGCGGAGACATTATGTGGGGAGGGGAGTGGGGGGATTGCCTTTAAAATGCAATAACCTGTATTCAACAGCAAGACAGTAATAATCAACTTGCCACACAGAGACTGAAAAGTAATCTTCACATAAATCCAGTACAGGATTATATGTGCTGTAAATTGTTTTGAGTTACTGCATCAAAAATGTGACCTGTTTAAGACCACAGTCCCGCCTACCCCTAGAGGGGTATACACATCATCATGAAGAATACGTGTATGTGACTGATAGAGAACTTTGTACCTGGTACCATTACAGCAACTTACCACTGCCTTCTCCCAGATGATGCTCATTCTTTCTTCAATGCCATTTGTGCCTTCAGGGATTAAGCAGAAGTTATCTTTCCCAATGGCTTTCTGAGCTGTGGTGAATGTGCTGTGTGCACTCCCCGTGACCTGCAGATCTCCGCTAGGAGAAAAATACAAACCAAAGCATGTCAGATAATTTGTTCCTAATGGAATAAGGAATCACGTTCCCCATGTGGCTCAGAGGGTAATGATGACCATAAAGTGAAGTACTGAGCCATCCAGAATAGAAGACAATATTCTGTGCTCACTTAACTCATCTTAACCAGGATAATAGTGATGGGTTGGCACAATTGGCTTTCAATTGATCCTTAGATTATGGAGGCTGTCAAACCCAGCCATAGTTTTTATTCTCAAACACTGTTCAGTGAGTCAATTCTGTAAAGGACATATGCGTGGACCTCCAAGTCATGAAATTCAACCAAGTCTTAACCTTTTATACCATTTTGTCTTAAAATTTAAAATTGCGCAGAATTATGAGAAATCCTGAAATTCACCCTTAATTTGAAAGCAGTTTTTTTTTAAAAAAACAGTAGGAAACTGGCTTCCAATTTACAGTTCAGTTCTACTATAATCTGGTGCTTTACAGCACAAATTTGGTTATAATAAGGTTATAATCCACACACATGAAGCCAAGCCACTCTCTTCCCAGTCAACTCTCACACTGAAATGGCTAACATTCAGATCATGTAATTACTTTCTGCTTTGTGCATGCTCGCCACTGAGAAATGGCAATGGCAGCCACCCAATAATAATAATCCTTGCATTTGATATAGCTCCTTTCATGTCTTCTAGACGTCTCAAAGTGCTTCACAGAATATGCTGTAAAGTGAATTGACTGTATATTTGTAGGCGAAATGCGGCAGCCAATTGCGCACAGCAGTGTCCCACAAAAGGTCGTGGATTGAAAATGACCAATTTATTATCGTTTTGTTTTTTGGAGGATTATTATTCGGCTTGTGGAGTAAGGAAACTTGCCCAAGGTTTAGCCCTGTCTGGAACTGAACCCAGGTGTCTCGCGTGCAAAGCGAGTGTTTTCACTACTGAGCTACAGGACTCCACAATGATCTAGAAGTCAGCCGTAATTTTCAACACGGGAACAGGTCAGTACACAAGGACTACGCCATACGGCTGTACACATTGCCAGGGAAAAACTATCACGCCTTGTTTAGTGCAAGTTGGAATTTCATGGCTCTCAACCACTATATTGTAACAGCCACAGCTTTCATTTATACAGCGCTTTTACATAGGATACTGTCTTGGAGCACTTCACAGTGGATGCCGAGCAAGGAAGGAGAGAGGGAAGTGACCATAGAGGTTGAAGAAGTAGCCTGAACTTGTCCTCAACCAAGGTTTCAAATTTTACCTGGACTTAAAGATCATTTTCTCTTAAAATTTAAGATCCCCTGAGCAGTGAACATTTCTCAAATTCAGTTATAAGGCAATAATTCAGATCCATAAAATCCCAACTCACGCTAAAACAAGCTTGATAGCCACTTGATGTGAGCAACACCAACATATTATCATGATTCATAAAGTGCCTTAATAAGGGCTCTAGAATTCTGCTCCAGAAATAGGGGAAGTCTGCTCCAGATATAGGAGCAGAGTTCTCATGAGTCAACATTACCTACAGGGAACTCCTGATAACTCGTCACTCCAAGAGAAAAGGGCTAAATGACTAGTTATCTGGAGTGGCCAGTTCAGCATACGTTTAAGTATGTGAATAAATGTATTCGGGATATTGCCAGCATGATGACTAAAGTAGTAGTGACAAGTTAATCCGGGGTTGAATTAGCAGGAGTTTACTGTAGCTCCAATTACCAGAAGGACTTCCTATTTGCAATCTTGAATCCCGAATTTAAGGAATCCCGTTGTTAATCACTACAATTCATGGGGCCATCTTTGCCCAGAATTAGCTTTGCATATAAAATATTGGGGGTTCTTTTGTAGTTTTGCCCCATTATCCTTTAACCAGCGTTCTGCCTTTGTTTATATCTTTGCTTGAGGGGATGGAGATTGCTGGGTCAGTAAAGGTTCAGTGGTCATACTTGAAAGACACAGGCTCAATCAATTTTATCCCCTCTGCTAATCTCCTGTGTTCTTTGGAGAAGGGCTGAGCAGAGCTCAGAGGGATAATTGGTGTAAGTATCTTCACTGAGGTATAGGAGTATTGTAAGATTCCTGCAGGCAGCACTTGTGCTCCCATTCCTTCCCCCACTGGCCACAGCAGATGTTAGGGTGCGCTTGTGAGGGGATGGCAAGCAAGCCAGAAATAGAAAATAAGCCTTTGCAAGCAACCTGTCACTTTGGACTGAAATAGGTACTGTGCAGGAATAACACAGGCAGAAGGACCTTCTTTATCCAAACTTCTTTTGTGATCTACTGTTTGACATAAGGTATTGTTGAAGGCATGGGCATAGCCTTGTGTGGGCCTAGGTAGGTCATGGCCCACCGAATTAACACTCAGATCAGCCCATGGGCTGTGCATGCTGCCTCTGAACTCCTGGGACGTTCCTGCTCTCTTCCTATCATTCAGCAGCTCGCCGTGCTGCGTGAGAAGGTATAGGTTGTCCCGCCTTTCCTGAGCACCAACTGATGTTGCTAGGCACATTCACATTCACCTTGTCACATGTCAATCTCTGCGCTCGTGTCCCACTCCAGCTCTCTTCCCCGTCAGAGTGGAAGGTATGAGGCAGCGCAGAGATTGACAGGAAGAGAGCCAGAGCAGGAGGTATGATACCAGCCACTCGGGTGCTTTTTCAGTGGCGTAGCTAGGAATGGAAACCTTTGTTCATTGCCCGTCCACCATAAGTCATTGCCCACCCAAATATCCATTCCCAGCTACGCCCCTGGAAGGTAACAGTGTCCTTCAGGCTAAAATCAATCCCCCCTCAATAACAATCCTCAGAATACTGCAGCATACAACAAAGGTGCTCACAAACAAAATTACTCACCTGTAGCAAACCAAAACCGCATTTAAGTTCAATATATATGAAAAGTTCAGAGTGAAATGTCTCTCTAACACTATATGGCCAGGGTTTGCCATTTACAAGGATTAAACTGATGCAACGGTCATACCAGGCTAATAGAGAGTTGAGGTGGTCGGGTGTTGTGGGATCAGGACTCAGTGGTGGTGATGTTACAAAGGCCGCAGCTTTGGCCCAGTTTTTGCTCCAGTAATGGGTTCCATCTGTCCCAAGGCTTGCAGTGATTGGCTCTCCAAAAACTACAGCTCCTGTTAATAAAGGAACAAACAGAATCTGGCACTGAGTCCTTTAAGTCTCTTTTTTGTCATGTTCTCTTTTATGGTTTTATTCATTCCAAAAACCTCTGTAAGATACTTAATTTTTCAAAAAATATGAGTTTCTCTTGGAATACTTCAAACGTACGGGTTTGATTTGTGTACACAAGAGTCAGATCTGTTTGCTTCACATTTCTGGAAATTGTTTTTTAATTTCCTTCATTTTAAAACTATAAATAATAAGCAATAATAATAATAATCCTCACATTTGATACAGCGCCTCATCATGTCATTGAGATTTCTCAAAGCACTTTACAGGATTTGATGTGATTGTTTTGTGAACAAGAAATAAATAATTATAAATTATTTTCTTCTCCTGAGGTTTCCTGCAACACATATGGATGATCTGTTTCCAGGCCTCTGCTTAAGGTACTCCTGAACTAGCTGCTAAAGTGAACACTGAACAAGCACATAAATACAAACAAAATTACATTTGTAAAGCTCCTTTCACGTCAGAGGATGACCTAAGGCACTGAACAGTCAGGAATTAGGACTTAAGAAGGGGGAGAGGGGGGGAATTAGGGAGGGTGGGGGTCAGAGAGGGTAGGAGGGTGGCTGAAGGCACAGTCAAAGTGAAGGGTCTTGAGGCGTGCCTTGAAGGAAGAAAGGGAGGGAGCCAGGCAAAGGGAATGTGGGATGGAATTCTGGAGGGTGGGCAGAGAGGCTGAAGGCCCAATTGTCGATGGTGGGGCGGGCCAGGCGGGGGACATGAAGCAGGCGGGAGCCTGCTGAACAGAGGCAGCGGACAGGTTGATAAGGGGTTAGCAGGTTGAAGAGGAAGGAGGGGGCAAGGCCGTGGAGGGCCTTGAAGGTGAGCACGAGAATTCTGAACTCGATCCTCTGAGGGATGGGGAGCCAGTGGAGCCGGGTGAGGGTGGGTGTGAAGGGGGTCATGGAGCCTGGTGCGGGAGAGGGCACAAGCTGCAGAGTTCTGGGTGGTCTGCAGCTTGTGGAGGGAAGAGTTGGGAAGGCCGATACGCAGGGCGTTGGCATAGTTGAGCCTGGATTTAATGAAGGCATGGATGAGGGTTTCGGCAGCCTGAGAGGTGAGGCAGAGGCAGAGTCGGGCAATATTGCAGAGGTGGGGGAAGGCAGTGCATGTCATGGCATGAATCTGGGGGAGAAGGGACAGTTGAGGGTCGAACTGGATGTGACAGGCAGTCAGTGGTCCTGGAGTCGAGGGTGGAGGCAGAGAGATAGAGTTGGGTGTCATCCGCTTACATGTGGAAGTTGACCCCATGTCTGTGGATGACATCACCAAGAGGGAGTATGTACAGGTTGAAGAGGAGCGGACCGAGGGCTGAGCCTTGAGGAACATCGCACATGGCGGTGCGGGGGCTTGAGGAGAAGCCGTTTGTGGAAACAAAGTGGAGCCGATGTGAGAGATAGGATCTGAGCCATTCAAGGACAGAACCTTAAGGTTGAGGTGACAGGAGAGGCGGTGGAGGAGGATTGAGTGGTCCACAGTGCCAAAGGCAGCAGAGAGGTCCAGGAGGACGAGGAGACAGAGGGAGCCCTGGTCACAGATGGACAGAATGTCATTTGTCACCTTGACCAGGGCTGTTTCCATGATGTAGGCAGCACGGAAACCCAATTGGTGTGGTTCATAAAAGAAGTGGCAGAAGAGGAAGGAATGAACCTGGGAAGCAATAACTCTTTCAAGGACATTGGAAAGGAAGTTTGGAGATGTAGCTGTAGTTAGTGAGTAGGGATGGGTCCAGGGAGCTTTTTTTAGGATAGAGATGATGACAGCTGTTTTTAGGGGGATGGGAACGGTGTCAGTTGACATGGAGAGGTTGACGAAGTCTGAGAGTAAAGGGGCGAGGAGGTGGAGCTGGGAATAAGGAGAGGGATAGGGATGGGGCCAAAGGAGCAGGTGGTGGGCTTCATAAAGACATAAAAAAGCACAACATGACCAACAGACGATCTGCCCCTTTCTTTTCACAGTGCATTAAGAATGCTGCAACACAGGAAAAGGAGAACCCACTCAACCACAGAGCATGTTCTGCTATTTTACTCGATCACAGCAAATCTTTGAATCCCACCTCCTCGCCTTTTCTCCAAACCCTTACTTCCCAACAGTGATTTGTATTTGTGTTTATTTTCCTTTGCTTGTGTGACAGTACTTGTCACATTCTCAGAACCTTTCTTTGTGTGAAGAAATGTCAAATGAAACTAATCCTTGCATTTGAAATAGTGCCCATAACATCAAAAAAATCTCAAAGTGATTCACAAAGTTTCTATACATTGACTGGATATTTGCAGGCAAATGCGGCTGCCAATTTATGCACAGGCATGCTATGACTCATGACCTACAAATGAGGTGAAGCAATTTAATCTGGAAGATTGTTGGTCAGGACACTGGGATAAACTCCCTCTTCTTTTTGAATAGTGTCATGGGATCTGCAATGCCCACCTGAACAGGCAGACTGATTTAATCTGCTAAGGAAAGTTTCTGCATGGTTTGGTTTTCTCTCCCTGCCAGCTTCAGGAGAAATGTCTTACTCACTGTCAGTGCTTCGATAGGCCGCTGGAGTGGGTACGATCTGGGGAACCTAATGCCCCCACTCCATCAGCACAATAAACCACTGCATAACCCAACAGTTCTGAGACTGTTGTCAATCCAATTGCTCGTTGCTTTGGTGAAACTTCTTTGCAAACCGGGGAATGAAAAATAGGACATCTCATTGACACATTTAATGCATCATTTCAAGTCTGTTATGAAACATCACAATTTTCACCCCAGGGTGGCCAAGAAATATTCTGTAAATAGATAATGTTTAATAAGGGCCATTGGAAACAAAACAAACAGCATAAAAGTGCTGCAAAAGAATACCACTGTGTAAACATCACCCTGGATCACTATTACGGTGCACACCGACAGGTCATGACAGCACAACCTTAAACTAAAGCACCAACAGAATTAAAACAGTTTACATTAGAGATAAAATAAGGTCTTCCTAAATAAAATCTTTGCAACCTGTTGAAGTTGTGCCATACAGACTAAAAAGGTCAGCCTGGCTCAGTGGTAGCACTCTCTCCTCTGAATCAGGGGTTGTGGGTTCAAACCCAACATCAGGATTTTGAGCTCATTGTCTTGCCTGATACTCTAATGCAGTGCTGGGGGTGTGTTGTATGGTCGGAGATGCTATCATTTGAATGAGACATTAAACCAAAGCCCCATCTGCCTGTTCAGGTGGATGCTAAAGATTCCATGGCACTATTTGAAAAGAAAGAGGAGCTTATCTCTGGGTCCTAAAACATACCCAATCACTCTAGTTAACAATGTAATCCTACAAAGCACTTTGAGACATCTTCCAGACTTGAATGGTGCTAAAACAAATGTAACTATTGTTATTATTATCTAGGGAACCCTGCTGGAAAGTGTGTGTGTGGAGATATCACATAAAAACAGCAAACAGCTTAGTTAGGATGGCTCACACCCCCTCACCACCCATGGTCCAATCTCCTGCTGACATTGAAGGTCAGGATCACACATGAAGAACAGGTACTTTGGGAGGTAGGAGAGGACAGCCAGTGCCTATACAATTTATATTTATATAGTGCCTTTCATGACAAGAGGTTTCAAAGCACTTCACACTGCTAGTGGAGCGTTGTAGTTTAGTGGTTAGAGCATTCGCCTCACAAGCGAGAGAACCTGGGTTTGATTCTGGTGGGCAAGCTTCCTTATTCCATACGCCTCCGTTTACCTAGCAGTATGTAGAAACCGAATTGTTAGTCGATTGGCGGATCACTTTTCCAGGGCTAATAATCCCTCCAAAAAAATATATATTTTGGTCACTCAATTCTCAACTGTTTATGGGACACTGCTGTGTGCAATTAGCTGCCACGTTTTGCTCACAAAATATACAGTCAATTCACTTTACAGTATATTCTGTGAAGCGCTTTGAGACATCTCGAAGACTTGATAAGGTGCTATACCAAATGCCAGGATTAGTATTATTATTCCCTGGGTACCTTACCTAGGGGTTGGCAGCTGGGAAAGGAAAAGATGACCAAAAGAGGTATGTCTTGAGACGGGCTTTGAACCTGGGTTAGGGTTATGGCGAGGGCGGGAGAGAGTTGGAGAGGCTCTGGGATAGAGTTCAGAACCATAAAGTCCCCATAAAAAAGTGCCTTCAAGCAGACAGGGAATAACTGGGGACTTGGGAAGAGTTAAATAAGTTAAGGCAGCAACTGAAAATCATAATCTACATTGTCAACATTTATATTCAGTTATAAAGAACTAAAATGTTATTTCATGGCTTCAATCTTTACAGTAACTCTGTAGTACAGGCTCTTTCTCTCTCCCCCACACACACATACTCCAACTCAGTAACCCCTCCAGCATTAAGCAACCATACCCGTCCATCACTTTTCCCTGAAAACGGACAGAAGAAAAATTAAACAGATATTGAAGCCATGATGTGATTTTTTGTTTCAGAAAAATTGAAAACACTAATGATTCCAACATCCACAAGCAAATCCAATTCACAACACGGTCACAACCCATTCTCTGCTGCCTGTCTTATAATGTAATGTTTGGACTCCTAATTTTGCTGTGGGCAGAACTTGGAGCCTCATGTTAAGCTACGTGGACTGTCATTGACTGGTGAGCATTACAATGTAGAGCTGGGGAAGTGTAAGTAGTGTTCGTGTGATTTGCCTCTCCTTGAACTGCAGAATAATTCAGTATTAATGCTGAAATACGGATGGTCTGAGTATTCTGGAGGCAGCATTTGGAAGTCGTGTGGGTCTTACCTTTTTTCCTGGCTTGGGCAATTACATCAGCTGCACTTTTACTCATCACCTTGGTGATATACAAGGGACAATTGATCCGACTGGCAATAGTGATAGCACGATAAACAGCCTCAGCCTCCAACTGTAAAGAAAGCATGAGGAAGTAAATATTGAGCTTAGAATTGGTCAAGTGCATTGTTTAAATATGACTAATACACCATCTAGATGTAAATCTCGCACGTGGTCTAATCATTGCAACTTGGTTTTATTTATTATTGTCGATCCCTTTATTATTAGCTTTGATTGTTTCTTATATATATACAAGTTAGTTCACCATCCTCAGGCTGGTCTTGTGATTGTTGTGTGAAGGAAACAGAGAAACGAAAAGGCTTTACCTCTTCGGGCCTGCTCAGTGCATGACCTTCAGGTCCATTTATTCCCATTTCCAAAATCCGCTTTTGTTCCTAAAAAATAATTTTTTAAAAGTTACAGTATTAACCTCCTGATATGGGTACCTCAATTGAATGTCAATAATTGTCCTTTGTCACGCTTTAAACGTGCTTGGACATACAATACAATTTACATTTATATAGAGCCTTTCACGATGGAAGGATGTCTCAAAGCATCTAAAACTGCTTGTTGTGCACCCGAGCTGGTGGGAGCCAAAGGTGATTAGGAGGGAAAAGTTGACCCAAAGTCCAGACACAGGTAGGTCTCGAGACAGGCCTTGAACCAGGGGAAGGAGTGAGGGAAGCAACAAGTTGGAGTCACTCGGCACTGCAGTTCCAGAGAGCAGAGATGGACAGAATGGTTAAAAGCCTGCTCGCCAATGTTGGGTTGACATGAAGCAAGCCAACATGTTCACTGGTAGGTAGCTATTGCTGCCTTCTTGCACAGTCAGATAGCACAACAATAACTTGCATTCATAAAGCAGCCTTCACACAGGGTAGCATCTCAGTGCACTTAACAATGGTGGAGCTTTAAGCTGAGCCAGGGAGAGGTGGGGAGGGGACAGCAGGCACAATCGAAGAAGAGGGTCTTCAGGTGTGATCTGAAGATGGATAACAACGACAAATTAGATTTGTATTGCACCTTTCATGTCAGGAGGACGACCCAAGGCGCTGACAAGGAGACAGAAAGCTCCAGAGTCTCAGGGTGTAATGGTTAAAGCATTTAATTAAACCAATTGCAATTGTTGGGTGACACAGGAAGCGACACAAAAGGAGAATAACAGTTAAAAAAAACTATCTGCATCAACGGTGCACATTCTATGCTCTACATAGGATAGATGTAATCGATTTTATGATCCTTCTGCAGATCATCAATACACTAAACAGTGTATAAAAGATTTAAACAATTGCCAATTGTGGTGGCAGGGGAGCAACCAGATTGTCAAGGTTGGATAGTTTGAAGCCAAAAGGACATGTTACCTCACCAACAAAATATACGATCACTACACTTTACAGGATATTGTCTGAAGTGCTTTTGCTATGAAAGGCTCTACATTAAACATAATTATTATTATTTTTATTATTGTCAGTCACTCCTGCAGCTTAATCCTTCCAAATGGAGTCCTTGGGTACATATGTGCAACCACAAATCTCCCACCCCTGACCCAGGCTCCTGCTAGGAGCTAGACATCCTCCACAGCATCTGTGATAATCTAGGTCACTAATACAGACATTGGGGACAGTGAGAAGGAACCACCTCAGGCTGTTCTGTGGCAGCTGCTGTCTCTCCTGCTGCTGTCTCATTCCATATACATTACATTACATATACCCTGCAGCAAAACACCAATATTCCCAAACAAGTGTACGTAGCACTTTTTGGTTCTAATACGATAAGAGGGACTTCAGCGTGGAATTAATAGCCTGTGGTTGGACTTTCAGTCCACATATCAGAATACTGAAGATTCAGTATGCTTGTCAGCTCAAACTTGACAAAATACATTTTAGTTCCTATTAGCACCTGAACCGGGAAAAGGCAGGTATAGGACTGAAAGGATTGCTTTTTAAAAGACCCCGCACAGATGGATCGAATTGCCTTTTTCTGTCCTGTAAATTTCTATCACTCTATGAGTCTAGCACAGATTTCTATTTATATTGCTAGCATTATTTATGTTTAGTTTGAACAATGTAACACCACAAACCGGAATCAAAGGGATGCTGTTCACTAAGAACTTCTGCACAATGTAATATAGACAGTGCTGATTGAGAAGCTACTGTGGTTTGCAGTGGTTAAGAAGCCAAAGAGGTTTTCAGAATACGTTTACAAGGTCCAGAACTGAATGGTGTTCTGAGAGCTTCTGCTAGATCAGAACTGTAGGTGATATGATTAAAGAAGCAGGTCACTTGCTAATTTACAGTAATCTCCTGCCCCGATCTAATAATAATTGGTTTACAATACACTGAAACGATTAAAACCTAAATAACTCAAAGGGGCATGGTCTTAATGAAAAGGTGCTTGGCAAACCTTGTTTTGTTTCATTAAAAATTTTCATTTTCATGAAAACTAATATATTAAAAATAATATCCTTGCATTTGGTACAGAGCTTTTCATTGACAGGAGGTCATCTATCTCAAAGCCCCTTTCATTTATTGTACGGTTCAGTGACTGTGTTGTATTGTTTTGTAGGCAAATGTGGCAGCCAATTTGTGCTAAGCAATGTTCCACAAAATAGCCATCCAGTGCATAACCAATTTTATTTGAGGGATTGTTGGCCAGATCACCAGGAAAAACTCCTTCCCAAGCAGTGTCAAGGGATCTTTACGTCCACTTAAAAGGGGCAGATGATTCATCGGTTTAATGTTTCATCTCAAGGACAGCACCTCCAACAATGCAGCGTTACCTCAACATTGCACTCGAGTGTCAGGGTAGATTGTGATTTTAAACTCCTAATGTGGTGGTTCAAGCCAATCTTTTGCCCTAGAGGCAAGAGTGCTACATCAGTGCCAGGCTGATACCTCTCATGCTCTAACCTTGTCTTTCTCTTTCAGATGCTGATTTAACTTGATACTGTGCTGGGAGGACAGTAGCGTAATCTGGATAGATGAAACCACATGAGCCAAAGGGCCTTCATCATCCAAACCAATCTTGTGACCTGCTGCTGATTTTCAGCACCTTCTATTTTTACAATCTCTGTGAAATTTGTAGGGAAAACCTTTTATTTAACCTTTACTTACAAATCCATGGCACAATGATGTTAAAATACATGTTTGCTTCTCCTGTCACTGTACTGGAAATAAACAAATAGATTAAAAACGGAGATGCTCACCTCTGCAATCAGGTCCCCATTTTCCGCATGGACTAGGATGACAGCACCAAGATCCTTTAAAAAAGTGAAAGCCTCGTAAAGCTGCAAAGACCAACAAAAATATCAGTAAACAAGAGGTCAGCCTTAAATATTTAATAAATTATTGATATTATAGCTGAATCCCCATTGTCAGAAGCTGGAACATTTCACTACACCTGTTATTTTATTTTGTCGCACTTGTGAAGTCCAAACGCCCCCATGTCCTTAGTGGTAAGACAGCTAACAGTTTAGATTGTGGAGAATTTGGGGAAATTCTTGTATTCCAGCCTTACACGGTATCTGGTATTTGCTAATCTTCCACTGGAACATCAAAGGACCTGCTGTCAAATTAATACTGTTTCTAAGAAATTTTCCAAAATTTTGCACAATTTTAAAGAGAACGATCTAAAGATTGAGACCTGAGGAATTTCAGAACCTCAAATTGTTTGCATTTATTAGGATCAATAGTTCACTCTCTCCAATTTAATTAAAATTGTGCATTCATTTTCACAAGGCGCACAGCTGAAAATGTAACATATCAAGTTATCTCTGATTCCCGAGTGGAAACTGGTCTTCGAGTAGAGTTTGTTATAACAAGGGGATGCAATGTGTTATTCACGTGAAATCTCTACGAATAATGTACAAGAAATATTATCTGTGCATGCGTGACCACTCATAGAACGATTCCTCAAATGACTGATCGCAATTTCCAACTGAACGATTAACAGATGGTAATATGCAGCATTAACATGCTCCCATCTATGCATATTACACAAACTGTAATACCAGAGCTCATATCTAAATCTGCCGTGATGTAGTTTTGACGGCTCTGTGCTGCCAGATGAAAAATGGAAATTGCTGCATCAACGCCAACCAGTCTGTGATCTCCAACCAGGTTTGTCTATTTCAGTCAGTGTTTTAGTTAAAGAGTAAAATTGCTGGGCACAAAGCAGCCTTTGTCGTCATTTTAGGACTTGTATCTTGCGGCATTTAAATAAATTTGTCAGCAATTCACACAATTTCGGACGCACATCAGAAGTCACGATTAGTGCAGCAGCTTCCAGTTTATGCACATCTAATTCAGGGCGACCCCCATTACAATGCGGTGTCTTAGATCCAAAAAATCAATCACTACTTTACTACCACAAACAAAAACAGCCACTGGTCCTCAGGTTACCGATGACATCACTCATGCAGCAAGCTGGCCGTTCAGCTGCCACCAATCTTAGGGAGTGTTTCTAGCACTGGAAATCCTCCTGAGAGCAGTCAGGGCTGACCAGCTGTCTTCCTAAACACTGCAAGAGTGCACATGAAGCAGGCCATTCCACATCTAAAGCTGATGTACACAACACTTCCAATAACTCCAGGTCCACGGGACATCTGAATTCTAAGCAAACACATGCTGCAGCGAGACGCTGAGTAACAGGGTCGCCCTGTATATTATGTGGAGTAGGGAAGTTTGATTTGTGTTCGTTGATGTGAAGGGTGAGAGTGGCAGAATGAATTAAATCAGCATCAACATCCAGCAGTAGCAAATCTGATATCGTATGAAGCTTGGTTACATTTTGGGAGGAAAATCTTTGAAGGAGAAAAAATCTGGGAGGATCCCAACCTCTGTTCCTTGTGTCCCACTCGCCCTCACACTCCCATACTTGTATTTAAATCCCTATGCGTCCACGTTCCATTCCCCACACTGCCATTAGTTTATCTCCCAATCCTTCTCTCTCATCCACAGGCACATAGAACCTCACAACACAGCCCTCCTCAATGAGACTTTAATCCAGGATCCCATCTGCTTGCTCTCGAGTTCCAGCAAATAAAATCCCTCCTTTGGTTGTTTTAACACAGGCCCTCAATAAAGACAGAGGGTTATTCCCCACTGAATTAAAGGAAGTCGTGTGATACATTACCTCACTATCCATCATTTGGAATATGTCCTTATATGCCATATAGACTTGGAAAGAATTGATACCTGTTTGAAACAAAGAAAATACATTTATCAGAGATTGCAATACAATATATCAACTGTTTAATTTTGTATCAATCACCAAATCATGGTACTTAATTATGGAGATATTTTCATAAACCTGAATAACATTATTTTAGAATTAAACTCTGGAGGAAGAGCACTTCAAGTTCTGGCTGACAATGGTCTAGGACCTGGCTCATTGGCAGGACCTGTTGCATTTGACACCCAACAACTGTAGATTTGAAGTCCCTGTGAACTTCCTGGTGACACAACACAGCTCAGCATAAAATGCATGACAGCATTGCCACAGTCTTCCTGCCTACAGCTCGAATACCCACCCCTACCTATTGAGCAATGGTTCCACCAGTTGGAGGTGCGAAACTTAAGCAGCAGCTCTCTGCAATCCATTCAAGATGGACCCAAACCTTGGATAAATGAGGGTATGTTCACAAACCGAGAGCTTTTGCTATCCCAATAATAAAATCTAATGAACATAAGTAAGCTCAGCAGCAGAAAAATATATTGTGTAGACATTTGGTTGTTTTAAATCTTTTTTTTAATGACCTGCTCTGTGTCAATTGTTTTCTCTCAGAAAGACTATGTGGCAGCATTAAAATAAAGTACATTCCCAGTGAATGAACTACCCTCCAAACAAATACAATACAATTTCACTTATATTGTGCCTTTCACATCAGTGAGATGTTTCAAGTTGTTTTACACTGCTGGTGAGCCATCCAAGCCGGGGACAGGGATAGATGGGAGCCCAAGAGAGTGGGAGGGGAAAGATGTCGGAAAGCATGGTCAAAGAGGTCAAGTCTTGAGGCAGGATTAAACCACAGTGCTTGGACTAATGTGGTGAACAAACAACACAGGATTAAACAACTTTGACAATTGTTTTTAAATCAGTTCATATAGTCCTGGCTCGATTTAATAGGTAATTGAATCATGGAACCAAGCATTGCTCATTATACAATTAGGAATTAGCCATAATACAAGGGTTACACTATGGATAAGGTGTTACAACGTGATAAGGCACTATATTAAATGCAAGTATTATTTATTATCATTATTCTAGTGGTTGCAATTGCAAGTTCAATCTTCAGTAAAGTAACGTGTAAAAAATAAGTGTTTAGGTAAATAGCAAATTATGCTTCTCAAATGCTTCAAGATGCAGCACATATTACATTTCGGCTGTAACAATACAACCTACATGTTACCTTTACATTATTCCTATCCATCAAGCCAGGGCCAGCCAGCAAGTTGCATGACTGCCAAAACACTTGAGTTTTTAATAGAACCATTGGATTAAGTACGGAAATCCAATGATGGTTTCTAGAACTCCCAAACCGTTCCAGATAATTACCTTCCCTTTCCATTCCCCCTCCCCAAAAGAGATTTAATTGAAAAAATAAGTTTATTGACCTTTTTCTTGAACCAAGACCTCCAGCTCTTCTTTGATTCCTTCGTTCCACTGAGGGATGTCCACATGCAGCGAGTAGTCACAGCATGATCGGTTATCAGCTGCTTCATGCCATTTTTCAAAAGCTGTCAACAAACTACTGTCCCTTTCTGGCACAACATGATCAACTGGAAGCAACGCATTTTAAAAGATAAGTCACAAGGCTGTAAAATTCAGAAACACATGCAGCAAATATTTTCCATCTCAACTAATTTATCTGTCATAGAGCATTAGCATGCATCAGCGGGTTTCAGAACAGAGGATGTCCCTTTCAGTATCATGCATTAATCAACATCTGCTCAACTGAAAAGAGGAAAGGTACGTCTCTTACTTATCATTGTGCTTCCGCCTGCCAAGGCTGCCTTTGTTCCTTGAAAGAAGTCATCCACACTAGTCGTGTTCAGGTAGGGCTTTAGCAGACACGTGTTTGCATCGATCCCTCCGGGGATAACCATCCTGCCGTTTGCCTCAATAGTTTTCACACCTCCAGGAACAGTCAGGTTATCTCCAACTTGTCTGGAGGGACAACAAAAGGTTCAACTGTTTTACAAATAAATTCCAATACAAAAGATATCTCAGTGATAGAGATAGCTCAGGGTTTTTATATCGACAAATGATACCACCTTTTGATATAAAACATACAGTTGACATAATGTCCAGTGTGTTGGTTGCAGCAGTTTAAAAGAGCCACACCCTTTTTTTTCCCCAACTTGAATTGATCACCCAGAGGGATAAGCGCTCCTGGACACAACCTTGCATGAAGGGCGCTAATATAATTGCAAGTTGTTGTTGTGATATTTGTCAGGTGGAGAAGATGCTTTATAGAGCCATTGGCCATGCTTCATCCCAACACAAAACACTTCATCACCTTGCCCTGTGACAAACCTGATATAGAATAGTTTATAATAATAATCCTTGCATTTGATATACTTAAATATAAAGGGTTGATATGTTAGTTGTTTTTTTAAACTCTGGCTCATTTGTGCTCTGTACATCTCCTATAGAAATACAGACCCAAGTGGGAATCAGCCCAGACCACCACAGCTTGGCATGTGTGGGGTCCTCCGACGGTGTGATGTGATTTATGAGCTACAGTCAACTAGCAACAATGCAGTTGGGTGAAGCTAATGAAGGCTGGAGCACAGTTCAATCATTCACCCCAACCAGTAACTAGCACATTATTGGAATCCGGGCAAGCTCTCTTGCCTTCAGAAGCTATGCTCGCTTGCTACACCTCCGTTAGCCTGCAAATTATGACATGAGAACATCTCAGCATTGTCAATCTCCCACACAGTAGATCTGACTAGTACGACAGATAGTTTAAAACATTTTCACGTGGGTCATCGGGTCAAAAATACTTTATTGAATGTCAGACCACAATAATTCATCTGTTAATGATAGATATCATTGGTAAAAATCACATAAAGAGATACATATAATTTGCATGCAAAAATATAATCTCTGGTATATCTGTCATTTTCTTCCACTTTATTAGACCGTGAAATTTATTGCAAAGTTAATAGTTTATTATTGGCTAATAAAAGTAAAGGGTAAATAATGTTGTTATTACCATTGTACCCTACATATATAGTCACAAACAAACCCTAGTCATGGTATAGATTTTACAAAACTAAACAAAAATACAAATATACCTGCCACCACCAAAAAACAGCACAAACATTTAAAAAATGAAAATAATTTGCTTTGCAAAATTCATTTCAGTTTCACTGTCAGTTTCACAGAAATGTACTGGGAACCTGCAGCAGTTCTTCAAAACTTAAGCTTTTTTCTCTTCATGAACAGCTGAGTAATACCAACGTCCAAGTATTGTTCAAATCATTGAACAACTTGGTTGTAACTCAAATCGATGACAGTAGGCATGAAGAGATTGGTTCATTTAAGTCAGTTTATATTCCTTTCAAGCCTCAGATTGTGGCCTGCATTTCAGAAAGTGGGGATTGGTTGTTTCTGTGGACTTCTCTAATGTACTATACACCACAGCTCCCTCCATGCTGGCTGGAGAACATGCCTGCTGCTCTTCTGCATCTTTGACAGAAGCCTGTCCATTCAAAATTCTGTCGCTGAAACAGACCATCAGCTCCTGGTTGTCAGGGGAAAATGCCATTGTTTTGAGCACTAGGAGTTGGTAGAGGAGAGGTTGGGGGAAAGGAAACGGTTCCAATCACCAGGGAAACGGTAGACAATTTGTAAGGTACTGGCTCAGTAGAGGTGAATAAGTCTCCCTGAGAAAAGTAAATGCCACAGAATCCTCATGTTCATCATCCATCAGTTGTTGGGGACATTCAATACGGTTCACAAATCAGCACATGGAAAGTGCGGTGACTGGGATCACTAATATGCCTGTTAGCAACAAGGTGACTCCACAATTTTGCAAGGAAGTGCAAACCACCATTAGTTTGTGTTATGCCCCACTTATATAGATAGTCACATACACAGTCACTCAACTTGTTGACAAAAAACAAATATCCTTTCTCTTGATTCTAGCACGAAGGCCGACAGGTCTAGAGAAAGGATTTGAGTGGTTCGCTGTGGAAATATTATGTCAAAATAGAGTATCTGCTGTTCCTCTTTTCTGGAAACAGGGCAAATAGTGTTTTCTCAAACCAGCAAATCTTAAATACGGCTTCTTTCAGAAGTCAGGAGTAAAACGTACATAGAAGAATGACCACATTCCCCACCCACCAACCTAGTACATCCAGCAAATGTGAACTGGTAGCCTGTTTATATTGCAAATTCGAATTTTTTTGTTCAGAGAAAGACTTTTCAATAGGGGAATTTACTGGTAGTTCCACCTTCTCCATGTGCAGCAATGGGTTCTCAAGAGTATATGTGGGGAAACAGTCTCCACCAACTGCAGAGGAAGATCAGATAAGCAATCTTTACCTCAGACATAACTAACTTTTGTCTAAGAGAGAGAGACACTTATGGCTAAAGAATGCAATTGCTGAAAATAAAGTTTCACTTATTTGATGTCCGAGCTGCCACGTTGGTTCCCTTCCATGGTACAATGTTAAATATTTACACCAACGTTTATCAACCATAAAATCAGCACTGGTCTTAAAGCAGTCTAAGCGATGGAAATTATAACACGCAAACTAATGGTGGTTTGAAACCCACCCATGGAGGTTTTTACACTGACAATATTGATTTCTTAATGTCTTATAAAGGCCTGTGAAATTTGACTAGGAATGCCACTAATATAATGTCGGTATTTTTGGTCCAGCATTTCAGTTAACACACCACCACAACAAGAAAGTGCAAAGAAAGTTTGTGTTATATCCCACATATATAGATAGTCACATACACAGTTTGCTGAGCAGAGTGAGAGGACAGGCCGACATTGTGTTAAGAGGTCACAGAGGTACGAAGGAGCAAAGCCGGGGAGGGCTTTGAAGACGAGAACAAGGATTTTGAACTCTATCCTGTGGGGCATGTGGAACCAGGCGAGCGTGGAGGCGATAGGTTCACGGAGCCTGGTCTGGGAGAGTATACAAGCTGGGGAAGCAGAACGAGTCATGGTACACAGTACTCTGTCTTTCAGTACTGTTTTAGAGATATGATTATGGTGCAAAATAATTATTCATTATATTTTCCATCCCACAAACCAATATTCTTCTTACCTTTGCCGAAACCTTTGGTCCAAAGTTGAATGGCCAATTCACACAAGAAATGGTTTAAGAAATTATCGCTAATTTTATCCCTAATGTTGCATTTGCAATTCATGGGCCCAAATGCTAAGTCTCTGTGTGTCTCTCAAATGCATCTCTTTTCTCTGAACACCCTGCTTGCTTAAAAGCAAGCTTTGCATCTTCTGCAAATATAGAAATTACACTTTTAATATCTTGGCCAAGATCCCTTATAAACTCAGAATTAAGCTACAGAAGTTCTCATGATGAACCTAGGATTCTCTGCAGCTCACTGTTGCTAGTCACTGTCATTACTATTGGTCACAACTCTTTGTGTCAATTTCTTAAACCATACCATCCACCCAACCTTGTGCCAATTTCTTATTGTTTCCTCCTTTGTATTAAGAACTTTCATTACAGCCACAAATCTCTTGATGGCGTTTTGTTTTTGGTGTGTCGGGTGTCTGACACATATGGGAACCTATCACCGTGCTTAAGGTTATCCAAACCAAACTGAGAATTCCATGCACCCACCTACACATGGAAATCCCAGAGATAGATTGTAAGAATGGAATGCACACTCTCTCCCTGGAGGGATGCATCCTATCCACCCAATTCCGGAAAGTATTAGGTGAAGGTTGGAAAGAGTCAAGGCTTGGGGACCCCAGAGTGTGTGTTGGGGTACTACTGGAGTCTCACCAGCTGTACCCAATGCACACTTGATGGTGTTAGTCCATTGGAAGTTCAGAAGATATTAAACTACTAAGACTATTCACCTGTGATTCCAATAGAGACAAGCAACAGACACGAAGGGTTTAAATGCACTTGTCCCAGAGATCTTATCCAAGACCTGATCCTATTTATTTTTGTAATGTAACACTGAGTCATGATACAAACATAACAAACATTATGTTCTACCCATGCACTGCTCTTTGATGGAGCAGTTACATTTTACCGCAAAAAGGTTACTTTTTATTAATAAGTTTATTAATTAATAATACCACAAAAAGTAATCTTATTGCTAGGTTTTCAATATAGATGTTATATGATTCATATCCCTTACCTTTAACCAGAAATCCCATGACATATATTATTCATAATATTAGGCTTAAGTCTGACTCATTACTATTTAAACGTTTTTGTTGTCCCATCGCTAAACCAATATACAGCACATATATGCTTGTCAAAAATACTTACTTGATGATTCCATCTTCCAGGTAAATATCAGCATAACAGGACTGGTCATCATTGATGATCCTCCCACCTTTAATTAGGATCCTGTCACTCTAAAAAGAAAATACATCAAACATATGAGTGAACAACAAGAAAAGCACATTCATTCAGCAGCTAAATATCCAGAATCACAGGAGTCAAAAGATAATATCTATGATCTGAAAATTATGATCGTTTTCCTCCAGGAAGAGCTAAGCCACAAATAACTATGTTAACTTCCTGTATAGTGACTCCTGTCAGTAATCGCAGATGCGTCAGACTGACTTTTACTTTGTGGATATAAAGTGACTTAATTGTCCTAACCGCTTTCAACCTCTCTGATTTTCTTCCCTCCTCACCTGCAAGTGTGGTCTCATGCTGGAGGGCAGTTCTGTATCTATTCGTCTGTTCCAACCTGATCTCTAGACATGTCACAAGTCTAGCGGTCTAGAGTGACCCAACATCAGAGGTCGCGCTTTCAGCCACTATGCCCCGAAACTCTGGAACACTCTCTCTCAATCTCTCCGCCATGCCCCCTCTCGCCCCCTTTTCAGGTCCTGCCTAAAAACCTTCCTCTTCGACCGTGCTTACAGACACCTCCCCGCCACCAGCTCGGAGTCAGGCCCCGCCGCTGTTAAGCGCTCTGAGACTCTACCCTGCGTGGAGGGCGCTATATAAGTACAAGTTGTTGTTGTTGCTGTTGTTGTCACACTATGGAATTAGGTAGCTCCAGAGGGGAAGTTATCACCAGCGAGGATTAAACAGGCCAACTGGCCTTTTATGCTCTATTCCAAAATTTTAGCACTGACTCAGCTTAAAGTAACCAATTCAGCACAAACCCCAGATCGAGTTTCAGGTTTCCCTGTTCTCTGTGGCTCAGTTCTACACAAATATCTCCAAAGGGTTCAATGCTCTCTATTGCCAAGCAAACCTGTCTTTACACTCCAGGTCTGCAGTGTGTTTTGAATGCTTGAATTAGTCTAACACCTCTAACCACTGCCACCTCTCCTTTTTGTAATAATTAACATACGCACTGTGAATTCTGACCTCCAAGGTGGTTTGAGCTTGGAACTGCATTACCTCCTCATTCTCTGGAATGTACTTGGAGGCAGTACTGTATAAACTAGCCTGGATTTCCCCTCCGGAGACCGGTTTCTCATTACCGTAACAGAATGGTCCTACGGTTCAATAAACACAAAATCACTTGTAAAATTGCTGAGCAGGAGAAGAGGTGGCTCCCAGACCATACTATGAAACAAGGTCACCTCACTGAGTTTGGAGATTTGAGTGCGGATTTGACTGCTAACCTAGGTCAGTATGAACCTGTTTAACAAGTTGCTAGACAGTCCACCAAACAGCATGAATTACCTTTCAACTTTCTGTTCTTATAAAATGGGCATCTTGTAAATCCTTCAAAATCTGAGTGCAGTGGGGGAGGACATGATAGTATCCATTATCATAATGTGAGAAGGAACCCAGAAAAAGATTCTTGCCGAAAAGTACAGATAATTTGTGTCATTTTTCTAGAACCAATGTTAATCCTACACTCAAATGTGCAAAGTGCTTCATTGGATAACAGATTTGTTACGTTGAGCATGGGGGAGGGGGGTGGGGAAGAAACTGTGATATAAAAAAGATTTAACCGTATAAGTCAACCACTTTCCCCCAACAGTAGCTTTATGATATAAACAGTTCACCAATAAGTGAACGCTTCCTGACTGCTAGTGAGGCATTGCTGTGAGCAAGTTGACTTCTACCTTTGCCTACAAAATATACATTCACTACACTTTACAATAAGTCCTGTGAACCACTTTGAGAAAATAGGATAATACCTAATCCTAATTTAATTCTGAAACATGCTTAATACTATCTGAACCACAAAACTATTTGCATGAAATATGAACATTTCTTTATAATAATAACCCTTATATTTAGTATAGTGATTTTTTTTATGTCTGGAAGATATCTGAAAACGCTTCACTGGATTTACTTTAACACTATGTCTGTATTCCAACACACATTTCACACTCTTGTTAGAAACCAACTTTGCTAAATTACTATATATGATTTTTTAAAAAAGATTGTATTCTGAACTCTTAAAATAAAAAACAGGCCTATCATTTACTGCTAAATATCTACAGCAACACACAATTACACTGCAGAATTTGATGTAATCATAAGATTGAACAAGGTTCAGAGTTCTTGAGAATCATATTTGTAAAATAGTTCAGATTACTAAAATCACAAGTGCCTTTCACATCGGGAAGACATCTCAAAATGCTGGGAGCCCAATCTTGGGGCGGAGAGAGTTAAAGAAGGTAGAATACTAAGCTCAAAATTTAAATGATATTTTGTTGGTGCTTTAGAACCAAACTTTCCATTACTGAGTTCTCAGCTTCGATGTAATCATAACCAAGTCCTTTGGTGGGGACAATGGAGGGCCTTTGTAGAAGGGAGAATAATAACTAAGCATGAACTGGATTAGAAGATAGCAATAAAAAATTATAGATCAAATTGATTAAGTTGCCTGTAGCATTAGAATAGTTAATAAAGAATTAAAACTATGTCAGGAACCCACATCACATATCCTGTACCTTAATAGCTGTGTTACTCTTATGAATTCTCCAGATTTACCAAGATAGTAGAACGAGAGGCCACAGTTTATAGAACTGCAAAGGGCAATTTCAGGACAGACAACAGGAAGAATTTCTTTACCCAGAAGATAATTAATGATTGGAACCAGGAATGGTGCCAAGAAAGGTGGTTGAAGCCAGGACCTTGAACTCATTTAAAAAGCAGCTTGATGCTGTGAAGGGAGGAGAGTAGGGTGGGTGATCTGGAAACATAAAATCAGATGGACCGAAGGATTTCTTAATCCATACTTGCGATCTTATGATCGGTTTGTTTTAACACTGGAGTTTACTGAATGGACAAATATACAATAAAGTGTCTCACCCACTCCCTCCAAGACAAAAATCGCATTCATTATATGCCATGACATCAGCAGACAATCATTTTGCATAAATATAGGAATGGCATCAGATCTATGTACTCAAGTGAGATCTTTGAGTTTGTTGTGAGTTACACTATTACACAACATATACTACTATAATGGGCACCTTTAAAAGGTACCAATGTGTAGTGCCTGGCGCAGTGGTAATGCTCTCCTATAGCTCAGTAGTTAGAGCACTCGCCTCACAAGCGAGAGACCTGGGTTTGATTCCCGGCAGGCAAAACCTTGGGCAAGTTTCCTTACTCCACATGCTTGATAATAATCCCCCAAGAAAAAAAAAACAAAAATAATTTGGTCACTTCAATCCACGACTGTTTGTGGGACACTGCTGTGCACAATTGGCTGCTTCGTTTCGCCCAAACATCCAGTCAATTCACTTTACAGTATATTCTGTGAACAGTTTTGAGACTTCTAGAAGACATGAAAAGTGTTTATATCAAATTCAAGAATTATTATTATTACTCTCGCCTCTTGAGTCAGAAGGTTGTGGGTTCAAGCCCCATGTGGGCCCATGGAATCATATAGTCTAAGCTGATACTCCAATTCAATGCTGGGGTGTGTGGCATTGCGGAGTCCTGTAGCTCAGTGGTTAGAGCACTCGATTTGCAAGTGAGAGACCTGAGTTCAATTCCAGGCAGAGGGCGAAACCTTGGGCAAGTTTCCTTACTCCAAACGCCTAATAATAATCCCTCCAAAAATAAAACAATAATAAATTGGTCATTTTCAATCTACGACTGTTTGTGAGACATTGCTGTGCGCAATTGGTCTGTGAAGCGCTTTGGGACGTCTAGAAGACGTGAAAAGCGCTATATCAAATGCAAGGATTATTATTATTATTATTGAAGGTGCCGTCCTTCAGATGAGACGTTAAACTGAGGTTCCGTCTGCTCATTCAAGTGGACATTAAAGATCCTAAGGCACTATTCGAAAAGAAAAGGGCGTTTCTTCTGGTGTCCTGGCCAACAATCACCAAATAAAAATTTGTCACCCCCTCCATGGCTGTTCGTGGACATTGCTATGTGCAAACTGGCTGCCAAGTTTCACCCACAAAAATATACAGTCAATCCACTTTACAGTATATCCTGCAAAGCGCTTTGAGACGTCTCGAAAATGTGATAAGATGCGATTAAAAATGCAAAGATTATGATTATTATTATATAATAGTGGGATGCCAATCTTACACCAGAAAATTCTCAAGTAATAATAAATATAAACCCATTGGATATTCAAAGTCAAGAACTTTTTTTTATTATTTGTGTCACTTTTTCACACTGATAGCCCAACTTCCTGGCCCAAATGCCATCATTCACCATTCTCTTGCTGATAGGTCCCAAGTGATCCGCTCTAAGCTTCTGCTAATTCTGCAATGAAGCTTTCAAATCCCTCCACTCTTCGCCCTCCCTGCCTCTTTCCTCTTCTCCAGCCCATTCTCCCGCCTCCTCCCTCCACTCTACAATGTAGGCCTGCTGCATATCCCTTGTCCCCTCCAGCCAAGTTTCCTTACTCCACACGCCTAATAATAATCCCTCCAAAACAAAGCAATAATAAATTGGGTCATTTTCAATCCACGACTGTTTGTGGGGCACTGCTGTGCGCAATTGGCTGCCGCGTTCGCCCACAAATATACAGTCAATTCACCTTACAGTGTGTTCTGTGAAGCGCTTTGGGATGTGCTCCCGACATGAAAAGCGCTATATCAAATGCAAGGATTATTATTATTATTATTATTATTCTGTGAAGTGCTTTGAGAAGTCGAAAAGACGTGAAAAGTGCTGTATCAAATGCAAGGATTATTATTATTATTATTCCGCCAATGGCAGCTGAGCAGTCACAATGTCCCCGCTCTCTGGAACTCTCCCAAAATCCCTTAGCTTTTCTCCCTCCCTTCGCTGTTTTTAAAACCTTTCTAAAATTCAACCTCTTTGATCATGTCTTCAGTCACCTACAGCAACTAATTTTCACCCTGCTCAGGTTTGCACACCATCTCTGTAAAGCACTTTGAGACATCACTCTACTGAAAAGCAATATATTGTTGTTGAATGCTAGGTGACTTAAAAATGT